GTCCCGAAAAGCTCCTGGGAGACCCCGCGGTCGGTGCCCGGTGTCAGCCGCGTCCGTGGTTGTCGGAAAACGACTTCTGGGTGTTTGACGCGTTCGCAGCTTAAGCAGAACCGAAGCTGCGGTCCCGCAGCAGGTGCTTGGAATGGGCTACCCAGGGAGGTGGTGGAGTCACCGTCCCTGGAGGGGTTCAAGGAAAGACTGGACGTGGCACTTGGTGCTGTGGTCTAGTTGGCATACTGCTGTTTGGCCATAGGTTTGATTCGATGATCTCGGAGGTCTGTTCAAACCTAATTGATTCTGTAAGATAAAACTGCGGAGCAGGGACCCAGTGTGGTCTGGCACTCGGTTTCTGGCTCTGCTGCAGCCGGGAGCCGCGGTTTGCTGTGTACAGCAAAAATTCCTTGTGCTCCGTAATCGGATTACTTTGATTCTGCATTCCTGCAGCACTTCCTCCTTTGTATTCGTCTCTCCATGCATTAACAAGGGAAGACTTTTTAGTATTTTTCCTTTTCGACTGTCCAGTTTTTTAAGTGCATTTTACTGTAGCGCAAGCACGTTGTAAAGTTGGTCGTAGGACCAGTCCTTGAGGACCTTCCTGTTGTAGTTTAACCCTGGCTGGATGCTAAGCCCTTGCTTGCTTCATCGCGCCCCTGCCCCCTCCCAGCCCCATGGGATGGGCAGAAAATCAAAAGGGCAAAAGTGCAAGAATTCTCTTGTCAAGATAAAGATAGTGTAATATATAAAGCAAAAGATGTGCAAGTAGGCAAAGCAAGATTGGGAGCTCATTTACCACTTCCTGTCATCAGGGCAGGTATTTTACTGTCTCCAGGAAAGCGGGGCTCCATTACGTGTAACAGTTACTTGGGAAGAAAAACGTCGTAACTCCAAATGTCCTCCTGTGTTCCTTCTTCCCTGGCTTTTACCGAGGAACATGATGCCACATGGGATATCCCTTTGGTCATCTGGGGTCAGCTGTCCCCGCTGTGTTGCCTCCCAGCTTCTTGCCCATCCCTAGTCTGCTCCGTCATGGGGCACCATGAGAGAAGACCTTGGTGCTATTTAATCACTGCTCAGCAATAGCTGGGATGTGGGTGTGCTGTCAACACTCTTGTGGTCACAAATCTGAAACAGTAGATCAGCTACTGTGAAAGAGGTTAACTGTCCCCACTAAAAGCAGTACGGGCCAGTTTTTCAGTAAATTTCCCCCGTCTGATGTTTACTTTTCACCACAACCTTTCTACTTCTTTTAAGTTCTGCATCTTTCATGAATATCTCTATTCTTTTGGTTGAAGCTTGTCCTTTATAACAGTGTGAGAAGGTCTTACAGTCTTCTGTTTCTTGTGACTAGAAATTCTGATATCAGAGTTGGCATGGCATGTCTTTGGGCAACCCATGCTGCCTCTTTTTCAGCTTGTGTCTTACATCTTCACTTCTTTTGCATTGTGCTTTAAGGATGTTTTTCTTTCAGGTTTTATTTATAAAATTCCCGTGTTACAAAGATTATGTTACTGGATCTTTTGCAATCTGATACTTTGTTCTTAAATGAAAACATTCTTACTATTTTTCACTTTTGTGATACTGTTGCTAATTCAGGAGCTTTGTATATTTGTAGTTTAACCAGTGCTTCAGTGGAATATAACACAAGGTTTCAAAACTAGATACCGGTGCTATTCGGAAAGGCACTCTGATCTATTCTCATGCCTTAAAAAACAGACCTTTGCCATATAACCTTATGACAAGGTAGCCCACCCGCTGATAAAGAGAAGCCAGTTGGTGTAATCTTTTTGGATTTCAGTAAAACCTTCAATCCTGTCTCTCACAGTGTCCTTCTAGACAAACTGTCCAGCCCACAGCTGGATAAACACATCATGTGCTGGGTGAGCAATTGGCTTATGGGTCGAGCACAGAGGGTGACAGTGAATGGGGTGACATCAGTCTGTCACTGGTGGGGTTCCACAGGGCTCCGTGTTGGGCCCTGTGCTCTTCAACATCTTCACAAATGACTTGGACACAGGACTGGAAGGGATACTGAGCACATTTGCAGATGACACAAAACTGGGAGGAGCTGTTGACACTCTCACAGGCAGGGAGGCCCTGCAGAGAGACCTCAACAAATTGAGGACTGGGCAATCACCAACCATATGAAGTTCAGTGAGGGGAAGTGCCAGACCTGTATCTGGGATGGGACAACCCTGGATATACGGGCAGAGTGGGGAGTGAGACGCTGGAAAGCAGTACCATGGAAAGGGCCCTGGGGGTCCTGGTCAATGGCAAGTTGAATGTGAGTCAGCAGTGCCCTGGCAGCCAGGAGGGCCAACCCTGTCCTGGGGGCATCAGGCAGAGCATCACCAACCAGTCCAGGGAGGGGATTGTCCTGTTCTGCTTTGCACTGGGGCAGCCTCACCTTGGATATTGGGGCAGTTTTGGGCACTGCAATATAAGAAAGGTATGAAACCATTAGAGAGTGTCCAAAGGAGGGCAGTGAAGATGGTGAAGGGCCTTGAGGGGAAGCCGTGTGAGGGGCAGCTGAGCGCACTTGGTGTATTCAGCTGGAGAAGAGGAGGCTGAGGGGAGAGCTTATTGCAGTTACAACTTCTTGTGAAGGGAAGAGGAGGGGCAGACACTGATCTCTTCTTTGTGGATCAGTGACAGAACCTGAGGGGATGGCATGAAGCTGAGTCAGGTTGGATGTCAGGAAAAGGTTTTTCACCCAAAGAGTGGTTCACTGGAACAGGCTCCCAAGGGAAGTGGTCACAGTACCAAGCCTGACAGAATTCAAGATGCTCTCAGGCACATGATGCGATTCTTGGGGCTGTGCAGGGCCAGGAGTTGGACTTTGGTGATCCTTGTGGGTCCCTTCTACATCAGAATATTCTGTGATTTTAAGTAACAGGCACATAAAATATTTTTCTCAATAAATATGAAAAATATCCAAGCTTAAAAATCCACAAAACCATACCCTTCTGTTAAAAAAAAATAAAAGAAGAGCAATTGTAAGAGAATTAAAACTGTTTTAAAATTGTTCATGTTGCATGTGTTTGCCAACACTTTGGAAGGTGTGGGGTCTGTTTAAGGGTGAACTTCTTTGGAGATGTGTGGATTTGGAAAATATTCTTCTTAGAAGAAGAGACCTGTGAACCAGTGGAGAACTACGGTGGGTTCCACAACTCAGCTGGACAGAGAAGGTTGTATCCAACTTGAAACGCAGGGAGACTCCCAGGGGAACTTATAGTCCTGGGAGCAAGTAGAAAAGGCATGGGTGAGAGCTGCTCCCTTCCTTCCCCAATTTGATCACCCTAAGTTCCACTAAAAAACTGGTTCTTAAAGTTCTTGGTTGCTTTTGAAGGTGTACAGCAACCAAATAGGAGAGAGTAAATAGGGATTTTTTGCAGAGCAGACGGTGTTAGCTTTTTGGGGAGCTCTAGATATCTTTCTAGCTGATGCATTTTAGAAATTGGTTGTCTAGGTGTCTCTGTCTCTAAGGAAGAGTGTATTTGACAGAAGTCACACAGTTTGATTTCCTGGGTGAGGTATTTGATGACACATGCAGCACAATGTGTGTGTTGTGTAGCGTGCAAGAAAAGTAAAGGTAAATGTGAAAATGTCTTGCATATCTATCCTTCCAAATTACAGCATTCCTTCTCAGCTGCTCAAATCTGTGTCTGTAGCATTGGTTACTTTACCCTGTTTTGTTTTCAGGGAAGTGAAAATTTTCAAAGCATAAGATAATTCTTCTTTTTTCATACAGTTTCTGCTAAATTGTGTTTAACTGTTCAGAAATCCAGCATGGCACTCTGATTAAAAACTCCACAAAACACAGGTGGTACGGAGAAGGTGAAAAAGAATTACTTTCCACTGTCTCCTGCTGTACAAAGAACAAAGGGTGTTGAAAGGAATTTGCAAGGATCTCATTCAAAACACACAGGCAGGCACCGTGTAATAACCCCTCTAAACTCCTCGTCTAGCGATGTTCTGTGTACTAGAAATGTTTATGAACTCACAGTGTGGGGCAAACTGATTCAGCCATTTAACAGAGGCTGCTAAATGCAAACCCATTATATGCAGCATTTGCCTGTATCACACGCAATAGATGGAGAGGATTTAGAAAAGTTTCTCTGTATGTTTATGCTTTTCTTATATTCCTTGAAAGGCAATTGCACCTGATCATTTTTGAAAATGGCTAAGTGAACTGTGGGTGTGGTTGTCCTCATATACAGAAACAGGGCATAGTTCCAATGTAAAATTAAAAAAACCCCCTCTTTATGACTCAGTTATAATTCTGCTGCAGTCTTACTGTGAGCAACAGCCATGAAGCTGAACCCTGGAGGAGTCAGCAGATTTGGGGAGATCATAATTGTTCGCAATTTTACTTGCACTTTGAAAGTTATTTCTATGTAAATGATGGGAAAAGTACTTATATAAGAAGGCTTTCCAGGGAAGCTAAGAGTTGTTGATGTGTTAAGTGTAAGCAGCAGCCAGTTTGCCTGCTGAAAGTTTTTCTGAAATTCACAGTTTACATATCATCTACTTGCAAATGTGTATGTAAGAGGAATTTATTACATTTATTGTAATAAAAATCATCAAACTGCTTGTGACATAGAGCTTTATTAAAATGTTTTTAATATATCATCTGTGTTATGTGATGTATTTATTTATTTATTTATTATTTTTTTATTATTATTTTTTATAAAGCTTTATTGTACCGGTATTTTTAGCTGAAAGGAGAGAGCCTTCCAAAAAAAGAAGTGGGGAGTGGGGACATGTTACTGTTGTGGGCTAGTTGATGAGTAATTAATATTAGAAAATAATATGCCAGCTCTTATAGCTGACTGGTTTATGAAGAAGTACCAGCTACAGGTTGATTCTAGCGTTGCTTTTTGTATACAACAATTTTCCTGTAGCAGGGGGTTTATACTGATTTACCCATAAACATATCTCGAAAGTAAGAGTGAAAAATCTGTCACCATGAAGTCCTTCAGAATAATCTCTTGAATTTTCCAGCGATGACAAGGCTGATGGTTCCAGTGGTGCTGGGGAAGCTAGTAAACCTGCAGAGATGCCTACGCAGAGAAGAAAACGGATCTCCACCATGCCAAATCTTGTCAAACCCAGGGCTGGACCTTCATCTGCTCAGCGTTCTGCACCAAGGCTGCAGAGGCGAACATCACAGGCTCCTGATGGCGGTGTTTCATTTCAGAAGGATTCCCCCACGCCAGAAAAGAGTAGCGTTGAGAGCTCTTTAAAGTCTCCCATGCTTCCTGAGAAGAAAACACCCGTGCCACAAGTGCCACAGTTTTCACCGCTAAAGAAATCAGTGAATAAAGAGCAAACTGTTGGTGTGGCTGCTCAGAAAAATGATGACAGTTTGCAGAAGAGTGTACCCTCTCCCCTCAAGGAGAGACCAACACAGGAGAGATCAGAAACACAGGAGGAAAAGCTTCCTATGAAACCTTCTCCTGAAAAAGACAAACGAACGTGTTCTGACCGTGAAAGGATCCTCAAAGCTCGGAAGTTAAGAGAAATGCTTAAAGAAGAGCTGAAGAAAGAGCGGATGGTAAGACCTCTGTGCTGAGCTGTGCTGGTTTGTAAAGGGCAAGGCGTGTGATTCACCTAGCATACGTTATCTCTTTGCACTAGTGGTTTCTGGTGGTCATCAGCTGCTCAGTGCTAGTAGTCTGTGATACCTCATAACTCCATATGGGTTTGTTCTGTTTAGAGGCAGTAGTAGAACTTTGTCCACTAATAATATGAATTTCACGAGAAATTGTGTATTGTTTCATTTGATTAGACCCACAGGTCTTTTTGACATTACACCTGGTATTATTTTATAGTCAGCATTCCAATTTTAAAGTTGCAGAGTTGGTATTAAGTAGGGAAGTGTGCTGTAAGAAGCTTGGGATTTGGTATTTCTCATAGTGTTTCAAGTGGATCATTGTCTGAGTTCTGTAATTTCGAATAACTTTTAACTTTTATTTCTGCCAGATGTTGAATTTCTCTGAAAGGTTGTCTCTGATGCCCTGTTGACAAAGGGACAGTTTTAATATAATTGTATTTTGGTTCTTGGTGGTGGTGTGTGTGTGTGTGAACAATAGAACTCCCTGAATGGGGTACTTCATTGGCAAACAAAAATATTAATTTGTGAACTGTAAAGTACTTCTGGGGTGAATCTGAGTGGGTTTGTTTTTATTTTTTGTATGGAAGAAGTTGAAACACAGACCCCCAGTAATCGAAGGGCGTTCTCCACCAGATCGTTCTAAAATGACCATGAGAGACTTGATATACTATCTGCCAGAAAACAATCCTATGAAGTAAGTATGACTTCTTTTTCTCTCTCCTTGAGCTAAATTAATTTTCTACCTGTTTAATACTTAAATCTGGAGTATTAGCACAGATGCAGTGTTATTGCAATGGGAATAAAGGCTTCTATTTCACATCTACTTACTCCTCATACAGAAATGAGAATGGTGATTAATGTACTTGTTGAAATACACAAACATGAACCTTTCCCAAGTATTAATTTATCTCTGTAGAAATACAGAATAGTAGAATTTTATTTTTTTTCCCCAGTTACCTGCTGTGAGATTTTTAGTTATGGCTGCTAGGAATGTTATGATTGCCTGCCAGGTCTAATGGACTCAGGAAGCTAAGCATTTCTCCTTCCAGGTGCTGAAGTGCAAAATGCACTGCAAGACCCATGAGGTCTTTACATTCCATCTGGATGGATGTAGCTGCTGCTGTTCTGTTTACATTTTTCACCAGCAGCAAGGCTGAGTGAGCATCCCAGGGGTGCACAGACACAGGGAACACTAATGCAGCTGGCTGCACAGACTGCCACAGACAGAGCAGGGCCTTTTTCCTGCAACTGCCAAAAGCAATCACATAAATAGAAGTACAGTTATCCAAATCCTGTTCTTTCTCTTAGTAGCTGATAAGTTTTCTGGTACTGTCTGTTATCACCTGCTTGTTAATGTTTGTGTGTTTGTGTGTTTTATTGATCATTTTCCTTGTTATTTTTTCTTTTACACTGAAGAGTCCTTCAGGAGGTAATGAGCAAGATACTCTTACATTTCTTATACCTTAAAATGGATTACTGCTCAAAGCATCTTTTTTTTGTGCTTGCTGACACAAGAAAGAGCATAATTCATTAAGCATTAAGTGGTTGTTTAGTTAGACGTAAGTCTAGATGTGATACAAAGAATGGACAAATAAAAAAGCTTTGTGGGTTTTTTTGTCCATTGTCTAGTAAAAGCCAGGTTTGTGGAATGAAGCAGAAATGTATCTGTATAAACAATCATCTCAAGCTTTTTATGAAATTCCAGGTCTTCACTGGCAGAAGAAAAGAGAACAGAAAAAAATTCTGCGCTGAGTCAACTGAAAGGGTTAGTCTCGGTGGTGAAGTACAGTAAAAAATTTTCTGGTGTTAAAAAAAACATGTTTCTGTGGTAATACAGTCTAAGTATTTTTTTAATGTTTCAATATCACAGCCCTTATTTATAAGAAGTTGTAATTGGGAGCGTAGGCTGGTTAAAGAACATTTTACTTTCAGTGTTACATTTTTGCATATTTCCATTTTACAATAGAATGAAAAGCTGATTTCAGAGTTTATGTATTGACTAACTCATTGATGTGTTGCTTTGCTGAGTGGTTCATTAAATTGGTGAATGTCTGACATACTGAGCAGCAATTCAAAACTGTTTTTGCTTGCTGTCTTAAAAACTGTAGGCAGGAGGAGAAAAGTACTCTTGGTCATGAAGAAGAGGAGGAGGAAGAAGAAGAGAATGGGGAGGAGAGTCAGGATGGCCCACTTCTAGTTCCTCGTGTGAAAGTGGCAGAAGATGGTTCGATTATTCTGGATGAAGAAAGGTAACAAATCCTGTGCCTGTCTCATGGACAATACATACTGCATTGCAGCTTAGCTTGGGGATAGAGAACAGTTCTTCTACTTTGCCCTGGGGCAAGCATGAGTATGTATTTGTGTGTTGAGAGTTGAGATGCATTTGCTTAGGAAACAGTGGAAGTATGTGGCAAAGGAGCAGCAGTTCTCTGCATCTCAGTAGTGGCAGACTTTATAAGAAATGTTTTTGGAGAAGGAGATAAAGAGGAAAGTGTATTTCATTACAGAGAACGAACACTGGGGATTTGTCAAACTTTCAAATGTCTTCTATTTAGCTGACTGTTGTTTCTTAGAGTTAACATGTATCTGCTTACTGTTACTTGGTTTTCAGTATGACTTGCTCCAGCTTTGCATTTTGCATGTTGCTGCTTTATTCTTCTGTGAGTGTTTTCAGAAAATTTGCTTAGCATATGACTTTTAAAAAGTAGATTATTGAATTATTGAGTTCCCCAAAAGTATTGCTAGAATGAGATTTAGTCCAAGGTTTAAGGGTAGAGCAGGACTGGTAAAAGAATTTGAAAGTGTTCTAGAAGGATATTGGGAGGCTCTTATGGTTTTGCAAAATAAATTTCTTGAATGTTAAGCAGTCTTTTTTAAAAATACTTAATTATGTCTATCTGTACTATACTTACAAAAAGGAAAAAGCAAATTTACTTACTTACAGGCTGAGTAGGGTAGTGATTTCTTTCTACATTCTCCAATTAAAGTATATGTTAATGTAATTATTATACTTAGTTACAAAGTGCAAATGCTCGCTTGTGGCATGAAAAATTTGAATATCTGTCTTATAAACATCTGCTATGTGTCTTCTTAGCAATATTTTCAGATAAGTCTCTTTGGGTGTTTGCTTTTCCAGCTTAACTGTAGAAGTTCTAAGAACAAAAGGTCCATGTGTTGTAGAAGAAAATGATCCCATCTTTGAACGTGGCTCTACAACTACATATTCCAGCTTCAGGAAAAGTTTTTACACAAAACCGTGGTCAAATAAAGGTGAGTATATTTTTGGTTTAAAATTTCAAGTCTGCAGAAAAGTCTTACTTTTCCACGTATGCTTTATACTTGACTTCTTTTTTTTCCCCAATGGAGTAAATGGATCTACTTATGTGTCATGTAGTGTCAACCCTCCCAACTCCTATAATAAGAAGAGCTATGATTTTTACTGTGAAAATTGGTATTTTTAAAGAATCCACTGCCTTATTATATATTATACATAGGCTACCTGTGATTTTTTTTTTTTTTTCTGTCATGGGTGTTTAGTGCTGAAAAATGATGAAAAATGCTAGTCTACTTTATTAAAAGCATAATTTTTGATTCTGGTGTGCAGATCAACTGCTCTGTATGGAGCAGTTAGTACTTCTTAACTTGGTTATTCCAACTTGGGCAGGAATAAATCACAGAAAGTATCTCTGGACTGATTTCAGTGTAAACAGACATCTGTTCTTATGAAAGGGTGGGTTGTTTTTTCTTTTTTTATTACTCCTGCTGTGAATTGGTTATTATCTCTAGGCTGACAACACCATGCTAGGCCTTTTACAATTGGGAAGGACTTTTTACACCTGTAGATGGAAAAATTTAGCTTCAGAATCCACTGTGCTCCTTTTGGGAAGAATTGACTGTGCACTCTTTTCCTATTAGATAATAGTGGTGTTTTATGTGGTGTTTTTCTGATTTCTGTTTGTGCTTGTGTTCATAATAAAAATGGACGTTGACAATTTGGGATTGGTTAGTTTGATTTACTAGCTTTACAAAACATATTTCACACTCTGCAGTTTTAACATCTTAGACAATTCTTTCTGTTGATAGTTCATTCAGCAAATGTTACTAGAGGTACGTAGGTAAAATAACACATATACTCCAGCTCACCTGGACTTGCAGCTACAGCAGGTGAACTTGAAGTTACTGATCTCATGGCATTAAGTCTGCAAGGTGTTTTTATTTCTGAGAGCAAGGAGGATGGTTTAGTAAATGCTTAAATGCGTATGATATTTTTTCTTATTTTTATTTCTCTAGAAACAGATATGTTCTTTTTAGCTATCAGCATGGTAGGAACAGACTTCTCCTTGATTGGACGGCTGTTTCCTCATAGAGCCAGAGCAGAAATTAAGGTAAAAATTAAAGCACTCAATAAAGCAACTAAACATCTGGTTTTGCTTTTCTTTTTCTCATTTGCTTTCCCATGCTTCCTCTGTTAGTACTGATATTTTTTGATGCTACTGCCCCTGTAGTAATGCTTTTTTTAACACCTGTTTCAAGAGGTTCTAAGCATCTGAAACATTAATTTACTGTTTGAATTTTGATCGATGTACCTAGTAAATCTAGCACAGTTAGACATAGTTTGTCTTTATTTTAAATGAAGAGTGATGATAAGCATAAGTGGCTGTTTGGTGGTGGTCTTCTGTGTTGTTTCTTTTGTGGCATACAAAGCCTTTCTCAGATTGAAAGTCAGGACAAAGGTCTTGAAACTAACAAAAACAGTATATCTGGTGATATTTACTGGTGGCAGATTTTATATTTAAAAATTAATTACAAACTTGTGTTCTGTGAGTGTCTGTGTAAATTCAGCAACTTCAGTTGGCTTGCATTGAAGGCTTATCTTGATCTGCCATTTTGTATAACATGCTATTACATTTCTTGCTTAATGAAAAGACAACTGTATGTTTGCTTTTAGAACAAGTTCAAACGTGAGGAAAAAGCTAATGGATGGAGAATAGACAAAGCTTTCAGTAAGTAAAGTAAATGTACCCCACCCTACAATGAGTCATTGAATGGTAGTCTATTTTCACAGTAATTTTTGTGCTTTGCCTTGCTTGAATTAATTATAAGGAAGTTTTTGCTCATAGGTGAGTCCAGTAGCTGTGGAATCTTAGGTTTTTATTACAGGCATGGGTCACGGTGAAGATCTCGAGGTTTATTTTCTTTTTTAGGTGTCTGCCTAATGAGATTAATGTAAACTTTCGTATATATATTCAGTTGAAGGTTATTTCAGTTGAAATTCATGAGAATTTCTAGCAAGGTTATTTATTGTAAACTGCTTTGAGAGTCCTTTAAGAATTTTTTTGTTAATCGAATGAGGTACATATGTCCTATAGCAGCATATTAATACATAATTTGATACTATGCTACAATTTCTTGTCAGGTCTTAAATTTTCTGAACTACTTAGTTTTATAATTTGGGGTTTTTTTTAAAACCAATCTACCATAATCCATGTTACCTTTTTGTCAACATTAGTCTCTGCTCAAGTGATACAGAAGATATTTTTCAGAAGAACACTCTGTTGATATAACTGTTGCTTTTTATTATCATGTCATATGCCACTGATTACTTTACAAAGCTGAAACTCAAAAAAATCACGAACTTTGAAATCTGTTCTATTTCTTTGCTTTAATCTGATAGAAGAAAAACGACCCTTTGATTTTGAATTCTTTGCCCAGCTGCTTGAGAAGGTCTTAGCAGATGAGGAAAAGAGGAAACAAAAGACTGTTAAAAGCCAGAAACCAAAGGAAAGGAAGTCACCAAGGCCTCGGAAGAAGTCAAAAGGTACTTTAAAATAATGCTTGAGGTGGCATTACAGAACAGTGGTCAGTAATGTGTTACTAGATGAAAGATCACATAGGGAATCTTTTCCTTCTCTGTTGTGAACGGGGCAAGAGGATCCTAGCCTTGTAATATAACTTTTCAGGTGTAGTTTACTGATGTGTGGGATGGTAATAATTACTAACAGCAGAAACGTGAGACTGCAGTGAAATAAGTGCTCTTGTGCAGTCTGAAGCACTACTATTCTAATTTACCAGTTGATAAGTATGTCTGTGAGCTGATGATGAATTCACTTGTAGAATCCTTGAGCCAAAATCATATTTTTGGCAAGCTCTTCTGTGATTTATTTTAGATATGACTTACATTTAGAACTCTCTTGAGGGTTCTGTTTTCTCCTTTAACAGTAGTTTGACTTCCTAAGTCTGAAGGGTGTGATTCTTTTCAGAGACTCTTATAAAAGTTGTTTTATCTGTTCAAAATAAAGATTGTGTTTAATTACTGTATAATGTCTTAATTACTTTAGTATCTGGGAAAGGACCTTTCACCCATGTGCCTAAATTAAAACCAGTTATACTGACACCATTTCATAAACATCGTGCTAATTCTGTGGGGTTGTTCACTTGTTTGCTCCATAAGGACCTGTTCCTTTTTAAGTGGTATTGTGTAACAAACAAGTGAACAACCCTTTTAGAGGGGATGCTAGCTAGGAAACAAAATCAGTGTTTAATTCTTAAAATTGAAATAGTTGCTCTTTTCTATAACCTTTTGGATTTGATTAAGTAAAATATCCCATCTTTTAGGATTTAACAGCCATACAGAGAAGTTCTGTTTGTACACTTTATTGATAGATTAAAAGTACTTAGTGTGTAGAGCAATGTGAGTATGCTTTTCTACTTCTCTTGCATTTTGGACTTTTAATTACAGGGGAACAAGTTCATTTAAGAGTAATGAAAAGGACAAGGAAAGGTTCTTGGTGGTTCACGTTCTACATAAATACAGGATCAAGACAAAATGTCCTTAAAACAGTAGAGAGGAGAATTTTAGAATATCATTAAACCCAGAAAATAACTTGTCAGTTACTAGCTAGACAATATTTCAGCTTTCTTATGTAAGAAAGCACAATCAACTGCAAAACATTTAATGGTAAAAAATTACCTTTTCATGGCATATATTCTGCAACCATCATCACCTCTTTCTGCAGAGATACGATAATTCTTTCTGGAATAGCAGTGTCCGTTTTCCCTGAATCCAAATGCGACTGTGTAACCTGCTAAAAAGCATAGGAACATTTACTAAATTTGCTTTACATCCCATATTGACCTTCCCCTTGTGAAGTGTCCTGGGTACAGAATGTGTTTTGCATTTAATGTTGAAGTTAATCTGTGCTGAAGCTTTTCTGTTAAGTCAGTGACTGCTCTCTGGTGGTCCTGCTCATATGTCTGGCCGTATATTGGCAGTGATGTGCGAATACACAAGATGTTGCTAATAAAAATACCTGTGCTGTTTATGGCTGTGTATTACTCCACCAGTCTATTAACCAGGAACCATAATGTCTCAGTAGCAAAAGCTGCCAGCACAGGAGCTGCTAATGATCAAGATGAACTTCAGGAAGCCAGAATTTCTGATGAAGAAACAGAAGCAGACGGTGTGACGGCTGAGAAAGAAAATGAGGAATCTCTGGGCATTTCTGAACAGGCAGAAGAACAGGTTGCGTTAGAAGCATTAGCAAAAAAGAAGAGAAAGAGGAAGAGAAAAGATGATCTTGAAGAGGAGGTAGAGAATATTCCAGAAGAAATGTCTGTCCCTTCAAAAATTGCTGAAGAAGGGAAATCCTCTAATAAAAGTAAGAGGCAAAAATGCTCAAACGTTCAAATATAAATTTTATATAAAGACATTGTGAACTTAAAAAATGGGAATTTGGTCTTTAATTTCTATTGCTGATCTGCCTTCGGAGGTTGTGGAACAATGCCTTTCAAGATCAGCTTTCTTACTAAATCTAAACACTATTTTAGCTGAGAACAGTTATCTTAAATCCTAACACTTGGTCTTTTTCTACTGGGATTTTTGGTATTAAATTAACTCTTCCTCACTGCAGCTAGGATTTGAGAATTGGAATTCAAAGACGTTTCCCAGAATGTCCAGATTGATTTAATTCTTATTAATTCTCAGGGAAAAAAGTGGTGCATGATACAAGCAATGATAGTCATACTACCTGTAGAGAAGAACTGGATTGTGCTATTGAAGGAAAACAAGATGAAAGTGCTGTCACAGAGGAAGAGAGATCAGAGTCCTGTTTACCAGTGACTGACCAAATGGAGAGAGAAGATGGTGTTGATTTATGCAGGTAATGTTTATAATGGGAAGTTTAGGCAAAATAAAAGAGTTAAAAGTTTTAATTTTGGTTTTATTTATTCATGTTAACTGCCACAGAATGTGCAGGTTTTTGGTTTCTGAGAACTGTCTCGGGTTTTAGTAAGCTGTTTATGATTTACACAATCAAACATATGAAAATATTCTCTGCCCTGATGGCCTGTGCTTGCAAAATTGATGTACATTAATACTAAAGTCACTTACAAAACTGATTGCATTCTTTTTGAGTGTTTAGGAAGAGCACTGGTTTATCCTAACTCCTAATATTTCTCTTCAAACACTGCTTGATAATGTTGCTAAGTAGTGTTGATATGCTTGAAAAATTTGTCTGTTTTTAATAAAATGGTTCTTGTGGAAAAGGAATGTTGCTTAGACTTTATTTTTGCAGAATCTGGGCGGGAGGCTAGCTTTTGTTTTGTTCAATTTTGGGCCTACTTATAAGAAGGTGAATGTTTATTAGACTTGATATATGTGAAAGTGGCAAATGTAAAAATTCATTATGAAACTGAGTGCAACTTGAGAGTCCTGCATGTTAGTTGTATTTAGCGGTATTGTGATTAAAGTTTCTGAGAATCTGTATAAAATAACAGTGTCCTTTAATACCTCATTAGAAACATATGAAGGAACAGCTATTTGCCTTTGAACTCAGCATAGATGGTCCCAAAGGATGAGAGGAAAGAAGCTTCTGCATATGCTGTTCTTGTTAAAGTTTGTTTTTTAAAAACAATCGAGTCTAGAATAATCAGATCAGATTTCGACATCATCTTATATAATAGCAATGCAAAAGTACAAAAGTTGTTTTAAAGATCTTATTCTGCAAATATCACTAAAACTTGTAAGGTTCTCTGAAACATGGATACTTATGTCGAAATTGCATTGTTTTTCTGTGCAACTTGATCTATCTGTAAACACTAACAGCTTTTTTCCTAAAAATACACTAATGTTGCTGTACGCTTTTATTTATTTCAGCTTTGAAGATGTCAACAATGTTATATTAGAAACAGAGTCAGCTAAACTGAGAACCGGGGATATTAGAGACGATACATCACAGGAAAGCCACACTTCAGAGTTACCAGTTTCAAAGATTAGAAGCCAAGAAAGGCAATCTGAAGAAACTAGAGAAACAAAGGTATTTTTATTTTTTATGTAGTTCTTCTCAAGAAGAAGCAGTTTGTAAATTAAATCAAAACTGTTTTTTGGTTGTTTTTGTGATGGTTTCACCACTGGGTGGACAAAAGTCAACAGGTCTAAGAACATCACCAAAATTTAAATAGTATCAGTTTGGCTGGGTTTAATGGATTGTCTGTTAACCTGAATTTATTCAGAGAGTATACTGTGCATGCTTGACCTATGTCACAGACAAATAAAACAGCAGAACAGTTTAATTATCCAAAAGTGAAGCATTGCAAAATGAACAGTTAAACCCTGGAGCAGGATTTTGCTGGCATACGCTTACTAGTACAATGTTGGAAACTTATTTGAGTGGGGAGAGCATTAGGTTGTTTGTAATGTCTCAGAGTGGAAACCTTGTCCACTGTACTGGCTACCACGGGGTGTTCCAGGAATGATATAGGAATCTCGACCAAGATTGAATGATCTCTCTTCAGGTATGTTCTAATGAGATCCAGCAGTTTAGAAACTTCTGGGATTGCATCTGGTTTATTTTGAAGCCCTTGATGCACCACTTACTCATGACTTTGTCTAGCTGCTTTTTTTTGCATCTACCAGTACTTCAGTGATGAATTGCATACCACAGCTGAGATAATTATCTACTTAATTAAAAAAGGGTATTCTTTGGATTGTTTTAAGAGTGTCTACCCTGACTTCAGTAAGGCTTCTAACACTGTCTGTCTCCCCTAACATCCTCTTGTAAGGGAGCTGATGAACCATGTACTGGATGAGCAGACAAAGAAGTGCACTAAAAACTGAATTGTTGGGTTCAGAGGTTTGTGATCAATGGTACAAAATCCAGTTGGAGACCAGTAACTAGGAGTGTACCCTGTGGGTCAATACTGTGTCGAATCCTGTTCGACACTGCCCTAAATCATCTGGAGGATGGGGCAGGGTGTAACCTCAGCAAGTCTACAGATGAGGCTGATCTGGAAGGAATTGCTGAGACACTGGGAGAGTGTGCTGCCATCCAGAGGGACCTGGAGAAAGGGGCTGACAGGAACCTCAGGAAGTTCGACAAGGGGAGATGCAAAGTCCTTCCCCTGGGGAGGAACAACTCAAGGCAGCAGCACATGCTGCAAGCCAAGCAGGTGGAAAGCAGCTTTGCAGAAAAGAACCTGGGGATCTTGGTAGTCTCAGAGTTGAAAAAACAGCTGGGCTGCATTAGGAGAAGCATTTCCCGGCATATTGACCAGTTCTAGGCTCCCTGGTAGGAGAGACATGGACATACTGGACACGGCCTGTCCAAGGGTCTTAAAGATGGCAAAGGGATTGAAGCATCTCTTGTAGGATGAAAGGCTGAAAGAGCAGGAATGGCTCAGCCTAGAAAGAAGGCTCAGGGGGATCTTCAGTAGCTACATAAAAACCTAAAGGGAGGATGGGAACACAACAGACCCAGGCTTTTCTGGTGGTGCCCGGTGCCAGAACAAGAGACAAAAGAGACAATGGGCAAAAAATAGAAGACAAGGAGGTTCCTTCTGAGGATCAGAAAATACCTTTCCACTGTGAGGGGTACTAAGCACTGGCCCAGGCTGCCCAGAGAGACTGGGGAGTCTCCATCCTTGGCAATATTGAAAAGCTCTGTGGCCATAGGGCATTGGGTAACCAGCTCCAGGTGGCCCTGCTCAATCAAGAGAGTTGTACCAGAAGACCTCTAGCAGACCCTTCCAACCTCAACCATTGTAGGAATCTTGTTTCTGCTCTTCTTTACAGTAGAAGTTTATTGTTTGTTTTCTACAATGTTTTTTTTCTTACTCAGAACGAAGACATACATCACTCACATAGACCAGATGAAAAGCAAAGTGCATCAGAAGGTGGTTCTCAGTCTGAAATCATGTAAGTAGAATTATCTTACCTTGCAGTGGTACTGGAAATAAATCTGTGTCTACTCAATTTGGATATAATTCTGCTTGACCATAGCAAGGTGAACTAGAACAGAAATCATGATAACTTGTTTTCCGTATATGATGAAGTTTTTTGATAGAAATTTTGATCACTGAGGAGCAATTAATTTTAATTAAATGTTAGATGGGAACAGGGAGGAAGACTTAACTAAGTTTAGAAAAAGAAATCTAGCCTATCTGAAGTCAGCAAGAAGAGATGAATTTCTGCTACTTTGTGGGTGAAACTTGCTTGTGAAAGTTGATTTTGTTTTTTTAATGAAAGGGCCTCACTGAATTCTTTGACATTCATAATTGTCCATCAAAGCTTATTAACTATATGCATTATGTTTATGGTGTATTCCTTCCTTCCTGTTTGGACACTGTTGCTCTTTGGAGCTCAGCGCAAGAGTTGAAGAAGATACTCCAAGATGTCTCTGTCTTACTTGCGCTCCTTTATGGAGTTAATCTTTGTGACTATTTCTTACACTGAGCAGTGGTGTTTAAAGAAGTCTGTGCCTTAAGTTTTCCTTTTTGTGTGATTGTTGATTTCTTATTCCATGATATAATTTTTAAAGGTGATTTAGGGATGGGCTACCAGTTCATGCTAAATTGGTTTTCATGCTTCTATCTTTCCCATTTGGAAGGCTCTTCTGATAAAGACTATCAAAGCTTTATTTGTCCTGCCCTAGGAAGGATATAAGAAAAGGTAGTAGTTCCCAATCTGAAGATAGTTGGTAAGATGTAAGGCTTTGTCACTGTGTGGACACACCACTGCAATGGTTAAGGACACAGAGTGATGTATGTACCCCATTCTTCAGTAATGTGTGGATGTTGGCAGTAGGACAAGGTGTTTGAAAACAGCAGTTCACTGTTCCGTGGCTGAGGTAGCTTTGAAATGGTTTGGAGGGACAGGAGAGGCAGATAGAAAATTTTGTATACAGAGCAGATTTCTGTTGTTTCTGTTAAACTCAATAAGCCTGTTCACACTGACATGAATTGTGAATCCCTAGGAGAAAAGGTATTCCTATTTATTTAATGGCATGAAATGCTTCCTTAAGGTATTTTAATTAGATTCCACTGAAAGCCATCAAAGTAGTTAAGGTTTATTTGATACTCTTTCAAAAAAGTTGTAGCATGTCTTCTAATATCAAAACAATGAAATTTTTTTTCTGTTCATTCTCTTGCTGCATGCAGTGTCTTGACTCATGCAGTCTGTGATGCTCTTGAAGCGCATCTTGGACCATATAAGACTTCAAGTTTATGTTTGGTAAGCATCTATACCACCTCTTTTTATGTCTTAAGGAAAACTGAAAAGTCAGCAGACAGAAGGCGCTTGCAAAGACCTAAACCCAATTTGATGAGATCATCTGGAAGGAGGGAGACAGCAGCACAAGACAAAATGGAGTCGGAAACTTCCTCTCCAAACCCTGAGAATACAGATGAAAAGGTCAGAGGGAGCCATGTTACTCAATATGTTATGTTCTTGATGCTGTTTTCATCAGGCGGATACTGTGGACCAGCTACAGTCTTATAAGTAGTATTTTAAGAAATGCTGCTGAGGTATCTACACACTTCTCAAAGGGTAATATTTCTTGCCTCAATTCCAGTGCTCTGAGGAGGACAGTAGAAGAAGAAACAGAAATGAAGCCACAGAAGTGGAGAACAGAGATTTGGATAACGAATCTGAGTAAGTATTGAGATGACTTCTCCAGTCTCCTGGAATTAACTAAATATAACTGTTAATTTATTCTATACAATGCTCTTATTAAAAAACAACAATAGTGGTGAAGTTTTAATATAAATCTTAAAATTGACTTTAGCATTTTCATGGATGATATCGGGTGGCACTGTGGTAACAGGTATGTATTTCTTTTCTGGAAAGTTGAGGAAAGCATTACTTTATGAAGTACCAACTGTGCTTGGAATTTGAAAGGGGAAATTGCGGGAATTGATAACTATGGTTTTGCTTTCCTCATAGTCTCTGTTGTCAGCTAAAGGCTCTGCTTCTGACACTTGCAGAAGCAGATATAAGTATGCAGTCTAGGTAAGGTCCCACGCTGTGTGAACAATTAATCTCTTTTTAATAAGTAGATAAATTGAGTTCCCACACTCTGTAAGACTAAACAAGGTTTGTTTCTCATGTGAAGAAACTTGTCTAAATTTGGGCAAATCATTCTGAAGACAATCAGATTCCAGTAAAAAAAGCTCTGCAAGTCACTGAATATTACACAGGCTTGAATATTTTGTAGTAGATGTCACTGTTCTGGATCCTTTTTGCAGAGAACCTGAAAAAACTGCAGTTGTAAAGACAGTACTTAGAGGATGTCGACAGAGATTTAAACCTAATATTACAAGAGCATCTGGAAGGAAAGAAGAACCTGAAAAAGATGCAGGAAATGATAAAATGTCCCATCTACAGCTTAAGGGGGAAACTGAAAAGGTATTTAACAGAATAACATAACTGGAGATAATATGTTAGCTAAAAAGCTGCTGGATGCAACAGTAATGTTATCTTTCTGGGGTTTTTCTTTCCTTTTTTTGCCTCAGAGTATGACCAGGAGTCAGCCACTTACTTAGCCTACAGTGACAGTGTGATATTCCTTAGAAACCTCTGCTATGCTGAAAGCTTGTTATGCAAACAGTAGATACCAATAATCTTTCATGTCCTACAGCAAATATAGCTTTAGTTGTTCGATCTGGTTTTTACTGCACCTCTCTGACTATGAAATGTACCCTATAATTGCATATGTCTGTCACAAGCAATTTGTTTTGTCTCTTCTTATGTACAGTTACTTGGTCAGTCAGGTAATGCTGCACTTTATAAATGTAAAAGCATTAACATCATGATGTTCTATTTCTGTTCAGAATACTGACCAAAGTAATAGGTCTGATGTTACCAGTGAAGAAGCTGCAGAAAAAGATGACCAAGTCCTGGCTACAGTGTCTCAGTAAGTATGAGAAAAATGAGGAGGTATGTGCTGCTCTCCAGCAATTTGCCATCCCTTGTGGTAGTACTTCACAGTGTGGTAATTATAGAACAACCTAAAGCAACAACAGCAACAAAAAAACCCCACACTCAAATTTTTGTTTTTAAAGAAAGATGGTTGAAGAGGATAGAGGGAGATAAACTGGGTTTGATAATTAGTTCAAGAAGATAGTAATACATTCTAGATCTGTGTATGTTAATAACTGTTTCTAAAAAAGAATGAAAAAAACCCACTTCTCTAATTCTCCTCCCACTTTCAGACATGATATGTAATTCATGGATCTTATGTGTTTTTCCAGGTCTAATGAAACAGTGGGTTTACAAGAAGACAGCAAACGGAGTTTGCTGAATCCTACCCCTCTAAGGAGAGGCAGAGTACAGAGACCAAAACCAAATCTAGGAAGAACTGTTGCAAGGCAAAAAGAACTGATAGATGAAAAAGATACTGAAGAGAAGACAATTAAAGGTGGAGAAGTAGAAAAAGATATAATGCACCACAGAGATGAAAACAATGACCCCTGCCTCAAAAGTGTAAGTTTCTTGAGCAGTTGCTTAGGCACGCTGTTTTGCTGAGTCATTAGTAGAAGACTTTGGTAACAGAGATCCAGCTACAAGCCACATAATTTGTAAGGACAGCCATTGCATGCTTTGTTCTTTCAGCATAAACTAAATTGTCATAAAATTTCCTCATGCTTGCACTTGGGTTCTGTTTTCTATGGTGTTGGGTTTAATGCCAGTCAGGAACCAAGTACCAGCTTGCTCACTTGCTCCCCCACCAGCAGATCTTGGAGAGAATTGGAGGGGATAAAGCTAGAGAACTCATGGGCTAAGATAAAGACCTTCTGTGGGCAGGCAGGTGTTCAGCCATTCCCAGGAAAGCTGGGCTCCGTTGTGTGTAACAGTTACTTGGGAAGACAAACGGCATTCCTCCCGCTTTATATGGTGAGCATGATGTCATATGATCTGGAATATGCCTTTGGTCAGTCCAAGTCAGTTGTCCCAGCTGTGTCTCCTCCCAGCCTTCCATGCACCCCAATCCCCTCACCAGCCTGGCAGTATGAAAAGCAGAAAAGGTCTTGGCTCTCTGTAAGCCCTGCTCAGCAATAACAAAACCGTCTCTATACTATCAGCACTGTTTTCAGCACAAATCCAAAACACAACCCCATACTAGCCACTCTGAAGAAAATCAGCTCTACCCCAGGCAAACCAGCACTCATGGATAAATGGATTATGTCTCACTTTGTTGTATTTGTGATACTGGATCTGAAAAAAGAAGTGCAAAGAAAAAGGTCTCTTGGAAGATCAACCGCTTCAGAAAGAAAATATAAAGAAAAATAACTTTTTACTTTTACAGTATGTTCTGATACTAGTTGAATGACAATAAGAAAAATACATCTTAGTGTTTCTGTAAGAAGTCCTAAAACTTTTTCGTTTTCACCCTCCTCTCCTAAATGAGTGGTTAAGCAAATATTTCATCTTAATGGAGTGAAACTCTTATTCCTTTTAGGATTTGACAGTTCTTGAAGACACTCAGCCATGCACTGTGATGTTAGAAGGGGATGTTTCTACAGATTCTGAGATGAACTCAAAATCTACAAGACAGTGTTTCCAAGAAAAGTCCTCAGAAGCAGAAAGCTGTGAAAGTGAAAAGGGATTGTCAGATGCCTTGAAACAGGTTTCAGATTTCAATACAGGGTAAGTTTTTTTTTAAATGGAGAGAAGGGATGGGTCAAAGCCATCAATATCTCTAGGTGTTCTACAATTTTATCAACTCCAGCATTACAAACAAGTTTTATATCTATAATGAGAAGTTTAATCAAGACAATACTAGACTTCAGCAAACAGAACTCCAGGGGCTTGAAAGCACTAGGTTTATATGCTGTTGGATGTTAATTTCGTCTTTGTCATGGTTTGAGATAGCCCCAAAATTCAATTCCCTAGCTCCATCCCCCCTCCCACAGGGAGGGGGGCTACAGGGACCTGGAACAGCATAAAGCTGGGCTAGGTACCTGTAGTTGTGAGCTGGGGCTGTAGGGGCCCCAGAGGCCCCGAGGGGCTCCGGGCCCCCTTTCCTCGTGGCTCTACAATATGGCTACTTCTTCAACTGCCAAAACTACCACTCTTCTCTTCCGGTGCTTGTGATATGTTTACATTTCTACAGGAGCGCTCATTGGACAGAACTTCAAAACTTCCAGGGGTTTCCACCCCTTGGGGGTTACCACTTTTCTTAGCCTCTGGGGGAAAACAAGGTTCAAACCACTACAACACTCCACCCCTCGCTCCTGCGAAATGTCAACGTATCACAACAACTGAAAAACTCTAATCAACATGCAATCTTCAATAAACTAAAATATAATCAAAATCTCTCTACTACATATCAATACAGCATTATCAAAAAAAAAACTTAACTCTACTCTTAGTACTTAACTTACATTACTATAGCCTTACTCTCTCTACAATGGTACAGTCTGTGTTTTGTCTGGAAAACTCTTTCTGTTACCACAAGCATCATGGCTCTTATCTCAATTCATCTCGATGGTTCGCAGCCATCCTCTGCTACCATTTATGTCATGGTTTGAGATAGCCCCAAAATCCAATTCTCTAGCTCCATCCCCCCCTCCCACATCTCAACCTAATGTGAGATGGGTTTTTTTTTCCAGACAAAACACAACCAGACTCAAAGTGGGGGAAAGGGAATATATTACAATGACTGTACAAATAAATACTATAACACATTATACACAAAATCACAACTATCTCTACCATGACATATAGTATTTACAATGGGCCTAATTTCCAAATAAATACGTTTTTATGATGCTCAGTTCCTGTGGTCGTCTTCTCCATGTTGGTCTCAGCAGTGCATCCAAATGTGCTTATATAAATCCTTGAGTACGGGGTTTGGTTTCCTCTTAAAGTGTCCCTTAAAAAAAAAAAGGCAAGCACAAGTGTTCTCTAAGTCTGCTCAGTAACATTAAACATGGTTAGGCAAAGGCATTTGTAAAATATATATATATCCCCCAAAATGTCTCAACCTGTCTTACAGGTCTCAACTGAAAGTTGCAGTTGTTCTGAAACGGAATCTTTTCTTAACTTATCTTTGCTCATCTATTTATCAGATACACAAGCTTTTGCTGGTGATTGCTGGTTTTATTGGGCCTTTTTTCATGTCGGTAACTTTGTTATTGCTCTGAGAGCTGCATACAAGTATGCCATGGTGTCCCATGCCTTTGATCGGTCTTCTCTTTGTTTTTGTAGGGAATCTCATCCTCAGAAGGAAGAGGAGAAAACTGTTGTATCATCAGCTCAGCTACTTAGGAGTCGATTCCAGAGACCAAAGCCAAATTTAAGAATGACAACTAATAGAAAAGAAGTGCTGGATATAAATAGTAAAGGTGTATTACAAAAAGATATCAACAAGGAAGAAAGTTTGACAAAGTGTGACAGTGAATGTAGTATCCTTCCTGACACAGATGTGAGGCTTTTTTTTTTTTGTTACGTTGTATTTGAGCCTTTGGGTTTGTGAAATGAAATACTGATGATTTAAAAAAATACAAAGTTAATAAATTTTCAAACGATTTTTTCAAAAGCTAAAATTTTTTGCATTAAAACTTCTGTGCTTTTCATTGGTTGTATGTGAAGAGATAAAGATGACTGTATCTCTTCTTATGTGTCCAAATATCTTTCTGACCCAAGGTGACTTTGTAGAGTTGACAGTGAAGAAAGAAAAGTATTACTACAAGATGGCAAAGAAGGAATCTGGATTTGAAGCTATTTAACTTTAATATAAAAAAATGTGTATTTGTCCTGGAAAGGTTAGGAAATGGTTAGTGAGCAGTTACAGAGGAATTTTGCAGGAAACAGTGTGATTAGTACTAAACTTCATAGACATCATAATGTCTGTGTTGGGTTTATTATCATGACTTGTTCTGGTTCTTGTGTTTACATTTTTCAGAAAACAGGAAAATATGAAGTCCTAAAACCACTAGAACCTGTGGGAAAGGACATGTCACTTCACCTTCAGGAGGTTTCTGAGAGGCCAAGTTGTAAATCCCCAAAAACATCTTCAAGATCAGAGGATGGTGAACTTGAGCTGTGTCTACCTGATATTAACCAAGATGACATTTTAACTACTAACACAGGGTAAGGCCTTAGCTACTTTTGGTTCCTGACAGTAACAATGAAAGTATTTTAAAAGGAAATTGCCAATGGATTCCTTAGTGGCAAAGATAATCTAATAAAAATACTGCACAAAGTTTGAGTTCTTACGGCTTTGACACTAGTGATAATTCCAGTAACAACTCCCAGTCCATCCTGAAATTGTGCAGGATCTGCTGCTTCATCTAGATCCTTAAAAATCTATGGGACCTGATAGGATTCTTTTAAAAACTCAGTGTTTTTTATATGTAAAAACAGTGAACCTGCATTTGTTTCTGTAACATGGTTTTGTATTAAGTTTCCTTTTTTTTTTTCCCCATCTAACTTTGCATTGATAGCAAAAATAGCACTGAAGAAGAAAGTAAACTAAAACCTCCTCCACACATCCAGTTAGTGCGGAGCAGTTTCCAGAGGTACAAGCCAAATGTGGTAAGAGCTGTTGGAAAGAAGGAGTTACAAGTATCAGAAAATGAAAAGAAGAAAAAGCTTGAAGAAAAGCACGTAGTATTGCAAAAAGATGAGTTTGCCAGTACTGCCATTGTAAGTCTTAATAAGCGCTTTTGCCTTCAAAGTTGATTCAAAGTTGCATGTTCTGCTTTAGGAATTAAATTAGAACATTTAAGTTGTGCTCCCTGAAACTGAGACAATATACTAGTTGAAAAAAATTCCCAAACCTTGGCAAGTTGAGGTACTGCATGTATGAAAGCAGTGAAGTCTACAAGTTTAACTATTTTTTTTTTTCTGTAACATGAGGTTCTGATTTTGATTGGATTATGTGATAGTGAAAAGGTTTATGCATTCTTAATATGAACTCTACAACAAAAATGCATAACAATTAGCTTTTTTTGCTCATTTTATCTTTCCTGTTTGGATGAATCAAGTGTGTGTTTAGGAATTTAGTATAATATGTCAAGTGATGGCAAAGCATAGTTATTTTTATGAAAAAAAAAAAAGTTTTATCAATTTGATAAGTTTTGACTGGCTTCACCATTGCCTGATACTCCTTTACACAAGTAGATTGAGTCATTCACCTACACTGTGTATCCCCACAGACATTTTACTAGGGACTGTAGAAGGGGTTGAAATCCTCAAAACCCATTATAGTACGATGAGCTCTCTGTAACCATTTTGTGGATTGCACATGAATCATGTCATGGATATAGGCAGATCTGCGTAGACTTGCCTCGCATTTCAAACACAGCTAAGCTTTGTTGGAGTGACTCATTTTTTGGAGTGGTTATAGCTGGTTTTGTTCTTGAACCTGTGTGGTTCAAGAGCGCAGGAGCACAGGTGTGCTACGTCTGTCTCCCTCTCAGTGCCAGAATGTTGGCTCACCCCTCGCTGAGACAGTTCCTTGTGGTTCAGCTTTGGCTGTTCTAACCTGTGAACTACACAAGTGCATCTGCTCTGTGCTGGGCAAGTCTGTGGAAACAGAGCAGGTCTGATGCTCCTCTTTACAAATAAAGCTGTTACAGACCTGGCGTGGTGAAGGATGTGTTTCACTGGCTTCTTTGTGGAACCTGTGTGGCAAATACAGAAGTAAAGCTTCATAAGGCTTTCTGGATCTGAGCTTATGTTGTTGTGGCTCGAGTGTGTCTGTGCTGCAGTGTCTAGTTTTCAAAGGTTTTACATTTGCTGAAGTATTTTGTTTCCGCAGTGCTTTATGTAATAGAGAGTTGATTGAATGCTGAAAGGACAAGTGTTACCCTTAATGTGTGGGTGCATATTATATTTAAGAGCTTAACTCTGGGTAGCCCAGAACTGCAAAGGCTTCTGTTATTTCTTGCCTATAAATTGAATTATGGTAGCATGGTTCTTATCTTTATTCTAATTGAGAAAATAGTGCAGTTTATATTCTTGTATATAAAATATATGTCTGTTTTAGAAGCTTACTTGTTCCTGTTTCTCTTCATGCTTCTTTTACTGTAAATCAAAGGGTGAAAATGAAGCTGTATTGTGTCAAGCAGATGTATTGAGCAGAGAGGAACAGGAACAGCAAGAGGTGCCTCAGGTGCCCTCTATTTCTGGAAACATTTTATGTGAACAAAGCAGGTGAGGTTTGAGTTTAGCAAAATTACATTTGAAAGGCTTTCCTCGTGCATAATGAGACACCTTTGCAAATGTCACTTCTTTTGTTCCTTGTTTTTTTGTCTTTCCCCAAAGTTTGATTTTCAATGCCTATAGAGAGCTTCTTTCAGTGTTTTCAGAGCACTTTTTTTTTGAGCTGAACTACTTGTCATTGTTTATCTGGTACATACTTGATCTGTAGGACCTCATAGCTCTTCCTGACCAAGCATTTTTATTATTGGATTTGTATTTGCATAAGTAGCAATCATATGGGTAACACATACAAATTTTGCAAAATATCAGAGACTTGTCTTTCACTCATCCCAGTGTGCTCTTCTGTTTTACTACTGCTCTTGTTAAAATAAGATCTGAAGTGTGTCTTAAACTGCAGATACTTCGATGTTGGTATGGTTAGCAAAACAACTTATTTCTTAATGTTAAAAATGCTTTGAGAAAGAAATTCTGTTATTCCTTCTCCAACTTAACCATAAGTGAGAAATATATATTTGAAAATACAGTTTTATTGATCTTAAACAAAGCAGTTCATCAGTCTCTAACCCTCTTGTGTAAGTGTTGATTCAAAATTTAATAAGTGCAGAAGTACTTTTTTCCCTCCCAGCCAAAGTCAAGTGATATAATTTTTGTGTGTGGTTTTTTTCTGTTTTGGTTTTGTTTTGTTTCTTTGCTTTAAATTCACCAGTGCTGAAAAATCTACCTCCCAAGAAGGCAAGCTGGGTGCTCAGAAACCAGGACAACTCACAAGGCTTGAAGCTCTAAGAACTGGACCAAACTTAGAAGAAGCATACAGCAAAAAAGTACCTCCAGTAGCACAAAAACTTGCTTCTCCAGATGAGGAAGAAATGCATAAAGGAGAAAAACTGTCCATGGCAGAAGAATCAGAAAAACCTCTCTCAACAGTGAGAATTGTATTCATGTATTTCTGGCTTTAGTTTCTGATGCTTGGCTCCACACCAGCTGGTTTTTTTCAGCATCTAAATAAGTTGTTGTAAATGCAGCCATTAATTTTGGACTAGTGAGAATTCTTGTTCAATATTTACACCCTAATATGAGGTGTTCCAAAATCCTGTCAGTGACTCACAGATAAAATATCTTAGGACTTCACTTAAACTTTGACATTTCAGTCATATTCTTGATACATGAATAGGTACTTACATGCCATATTTCTGTTGCTGGGTTTCCTCTGAGCTCCTTGATGGCTGCTCATGAAAGACTGCACTGGTTATAGTATCTATTTTTATTAGTTAAATACCTTCCCTAGAAGAATAAGCAACAATGATGGTACCATAAACTACTTGAAAGCTTTTAAGGAAAGTTTTGTCTAAGGTTAACAGCTCAATGATAATTTGCAATGCTAATATTGTTGTTGTTTTTTCAAATCTAAGGGTGACATAGAGGTATTGTTTGTGGGAAATTTGGCCAAGAATGACAATCTAGACATAAATTCAAGATGTATGAAGTCAGAAATGCTCTGTTCCTCTAAAAAGCCACCAAACAGCCACAACAAGGAAGGGCAAGAAGAGTGTCCATCTACAGATGCTATGGGAAGCATTCTGGGTGCCACAGAAAGGTAAAGTTCCCTTTTGGCAAAGTATAAAAACTCTTGTCCTGGTTTCAGCTGGGATAGAGCTCATTTTCCCTTAGTAGCTGGTGCAGTGCTGTGTTTGGATTTAGTATGAGAACGATGTTGATAACACACTGATGTTTTAGTTGCTGCTGAGCAGTGTTTACCCTGACTTTTCAGCTTCCCAATGCTCTGCCAGTGAGCAGGTGTACAAGAAGTGGGGAGGCAGCACAGCCAGGACAGCTGATCTGAACTGGCCAAAAGAATATTCCATACCATAGGACATCAAGCTCAGTGTATAAACTAGGGGGAGGTGGCCAGGGGCTGCTGATTGCTGCTCGGGCATGGTCTGGGGATCAGTCAGCAAGTAGTGGGCAATTGTGTATCCCTTCTATCTTTTGGTTTTATTCCTCTGTCTGTCTCTATCTTTCATTATTTTATATTTTATTTTGTTTCAGTTATTTAAGTGTTCTTATCTAATCCCACAAGGCTTACTTTTGCTTTCCAGTTCTCCTCCCCACCAGAGCTGGGGAGTGACCGACTGCATCGTACTCACTTGCCAACTGGGGTTAAACCACAACAGTCCTTTAAAGAGTTTGTCCATTTGTCCAGTTGTTTCCATACAGCACTTGCTTTTGGAAGTATAGGCTCTGAGCTGTACTAGTCGTTATATACTATGTGCTGTGGAAGTCACTAGGTGGCATCCTTAAGTAATATAAGAATTTTAACAGAATTTTACTCAAGGCTGTTTTCCTTTTTAGAAGGTACTTTGCAGATGAGGATAGAAGCAAATAATCATAGTTTAGCTGTCTGAATTTCTCAGTAATAGATTCTTAGGGTACAGTGCACTATGAATGTGGACCAAAGACTGAGCAGTGCCCTTTGCACTCACTCATAATTGAGAAATGGTAAGTAGAGAAACATAAATGAGCTTGCTCTCTAAGATGTATTCAGGGTCTCTTCAGTTTTTCTTTGAATTAGAAGTTCCTGCAATGATGTGCAGTGTCCCGACTCTCTTGGTGGAGGGGATGGTTTTTATGTATGTGCAATACAAGGCAGATAGTGCCATTTACATGTAGCAGTTCTGAGTTGTGCTGTAAGGTACCTTTTGTTCAATCTAAACTAATACAGAGCAGTCTCAAATCAATTTACTTTTGCTTTTTTCTAAAAAAAAGAGTCTTTGTGCTAACAAGACAAGGATTTTACTTTACAGTCTTCGTGCCTTCTGTGATGGTGGAATATCAGACTCCCATAGTTCAACCCATAGTGGTTGAGGCTGGAAGGGTCTGCTAGAGGTCTTCTGGTACAACTCTCTTGATTGAGCAGGGCCACCTGGAGCTGGTTACCCAATGCCCTATGGCCACAGAGCTTTTCAATATTGCCAAGGATGGAGACTCCCCAGTCTCTCTGGGCAGCCTGGGCCAGTGCTTAGTACCCCTCACAGTGGAAAGGTATTTTCTGATCCTCAGAAGGAACCTCCTTGTCTTCTATTTTTTGCCCATTGTCTCTTTTGTCTCTTGTTCTGGCACCGGGCACCACCAGAAAAGCCTGGGTCTGTTGTGTTCCCATCCTCCCTTTAGGTTTTTATGTAGCTACTGAAGATCCCCCTGAGCCTTCTTTCTAGGCTGAGCCATTCCTGCTCTTTCAGCCTTTCATCCTACAAGAGATGCTTCAATCCCTTTGCCATCTTTAAGACCCTTGGACAGGCCGTGTCCAGTATGTCCATGTCTCTCCTACCAGGGAGCCCAGAACTGGTCAATATGCCGGCAAATGCTTCTCCTAATGCAGCCCAGCTGTTTTTTCAATTCTGAGACTATCAAGACCCCCAGGTTCTTTTCTGCAAAGCTGCTTTCCACCTGCTTGGCTTGCAGCATGTGCTGCTGCCTTGGGTTGTTCCTCCCCAGGGGAAGGACTTTGCATCTCCCCTTGTTGAACTTCCTGAGGTTCCTGTCAGCCCCTTTCTCCAGGTCCCTCTGGATGGCAGCACACTCTCCCAGTGTCTCAGCAATTCCTTCCAGATCAGCCTCATCCGTAGACTGGCTGAGGTTACACCCTGCCCCATCCTCCAGATGATTTAGGGTGGTGTCGAACAGGATTCGACACAGTATTGACCCACAGGGTACACTCCTAGTTACTGGTCTCCAACTGGATTTTGTACCATTGATCACAAACCTCTGAACCCAACAATTCAGTTTTTAGTGCACTTCCTTGTCTGCTCATCCAGTCCATGGTTCATCAGCTCCCTTACAAGAGGATGTTAGGGGAGACAGACAGTGTTAGAAGCCTTACTGAAGTCAGGGTAGACACTCTTTACTGCTCTCCCTTCATTTATCAAGGCAGTCATTTCATTGTAAAAGGTTATCAAGTTGGTTAAGCATGACTTCCCCATTGTGAATTCATGCTGACTACTCCAAGTCACCTTGTTTTTTTCATGTGTGTGGAAGTAGTTTCCAGGGTTAGTTGTTCCATCACTTTCCCTGACTAGACTGTAGTTCCCTGGATTCTCCTTCTTGCCTCTTTCCAAGTCTTGAGTTTAGAAGCCCAAGATTTCTATCTTAATGAGCTGAATGTGCTTGAAAAGATGTAAGAATATTATCCTGTTTGAAAGCAGTAGAGCCTTGAGCACTGGAATTACTGAATATTAATGTTTCTCTGGCTGCTTAATTTTGGAAACCTATGTTGGTATAGCTGAAATTTTCTACTCTACCTTAATGTAGAGTATTTCTTAATGTTGTTTTCCTTCCAAAAATTTTTCCCAAAAGCAATCAGAAAAGTTCACTGCTGCGGAGGAATTACCTCCTTTTTGCAGTGTTTTTTTTCCTCCTTTATGTTTTTTTAAACTTAACCAACTAAACAAATAAATATTCAGAAAACAATTTCATTTCTAGCTGGAAGTCTTAAATTTTGGATAGTAAGCAAGTTTGTAGAGTGTATTTTGTAGTTCCTCAGAAGTAAAAGTTGAAACATATTTTTGTAGGTCCAGTGATGAATTAAGTTCTGGAGAAGAAAGTGAACAGAGAGCAAGGGAACTCCACAGGATCTCAAGGTCAAACATAATGAGACTTACTAGAAAAAGGGATTATTTCAAAGAAAGTGAAAACAAAGAAGAGGGCAACACTGAGAACAGAAATGAAGAAGAATGTTTGCTGTTATTAAAAACAGATGTATCAATGGTAAGTCTTCATCACATGTTTTGAGCCTATTATACCTCAATTCTTTTGCTTAAGTTCTCAGAACCATAGATGGCACAGAAATCCAGTATATTGCTGGGAAAGGTTAATGTAATCATTTGATTTGTATTTTTCTAATTCATTACTGGAAATTATGTGGATTCTAAATGAACTTAGAATCTAAAAACTGTGGAAATATTTAAAGTACAGTGTTTTCTTAAGTTCTACTTTTTATGTGGTTGTAATTCTGCATTACAATAAATACCTGTTAACACTGTTAATAATTAATGTTTTTTATTCATTGAACAATGGAAATTAAGGCAGTTGTCTTAACATCAGATATTATCTGAAACTTCTGTAAGTATACTTCTAAGTTAAAATGAATGTGAACAAAGTTCAGACCTTCTTCTGCTTAAATTTGCTCAACAGGCCTAACTTAGTCCAGGCTAGTTCCTTCTCAGTCTAAAGCTGTGATGCCTGAATCAAGTTTTTCTGATGTTCCCTGATTTCTAGATGGATGACTAAAATTTTTCAGTTAACATATTATTTTGGGCAAGTATCCATAGCTGACAGAACTGTGGCTGCTATGTTTATCTGTACATATGTCAAATAATATTTAAATGCTGTTCTCTAAAGTATGGCAGTATTTTCTTCCTAGTTTGTTCCCAAGGCAGAAAAAGATAATTTTTCCATCCTGCAAATTGTTCTTTAAATTAATAGGTAGTTTTAGAAAACTGTTAATCTTTCCAGCTTCTAAAGAATTGTTGCTCTTGATAAATTGAGCATGGTCCTCGTCTATTAACTACTAGCAGCACTGGGAATTCAGGCATCATAGATATATAGCCTCTGCTATAGAGGCAGAATTAAAGGCAATGAGGAAACGTGTCCTAAGTTATCAGAGATGTCAGCTGGGCATGTTTTCAAGAACCTCAAACTTAGTTCTGTAAATCTTCTTGTCACCAAAACCAGTTAAAAATGTTTGGCACTTATTATGATAGTAATTGTCTCCTCTGTTCAGCAAAATTCCAGTAACATAGTGGAAGCTGCATCCTTCTTAGAGTCTACAGAGAAACACAATTTTACAGAGGATGTTGAAGAAACATCTTGTAAACGAACCAGGCAGGATATTACACTCCAGTCTCCAGAGATATCCTCAGAGTGTGAGAGTCAAGTAGAACAAGATGAGGATTTTCAGCTTTCTACCTCTGAGGAGAAACAATCAGACAATCTCACAAGGTAAAACAACTTATTTTGTTTTGTAAACTCAGCTAATTGGTGATTATTAGCCATAGTTCTGCAGTGTGTTATTTGAATTCCTGCAGCATGTCAGTCCATCTGAACTTGACCAGATGCATGCAGATACCCCAATGTCTCTTACCCTGCTTGTTCTCTCATAAAATGAACACAGCCAGCACTATCACCAATCCATCCCATTGTTTCAACAGGAATTCCTGATTTTGTAGGGGAGGACTTTGAAGTACCCATATTTGGGGGAATTGGTATATTATCTGCTGCTACTGAGATTAGTTGGTCCCTGTTATTTTTGTAACCCCCCACCATGTAGTTGTGGACCCCTAGCCCTTCTATTCCATAGATTAGGGGATCCCAGCTCTTTCTACCTCTTCTTGTAGCCATGTCCCACAAACTCAGGACAATCCTGAGTGCCCTTTTCTGGACCCTATTTCCTCAATATCATTCCTGAACCAGGGGACCTGAAACCACACCTGACATGGTATTGCTGATGTTGATGAGGTTGACTACAACTTCTGTCCAAAAATGCTGTAACAGATGGTGTCAAAAGCCTTCCTGAAGCCAAGTAGACTTATATCCCATTACTCCCCCCAATCCCTTTAAGCAGGCATTTCATCACAGTATTATTGGTCAGGCCCACTTTGTACAGGTTAATTGTGGGATTAACCTAAACAGAAACTTTGTACTGGGAGTATCCTCTGCTGCCATCTGTTTCCACTCCCCGCCAGTTTACCAAGGAGGATGTTTTTGGGGGGAGGTTTGCAATTACTTTTGGTACTCAAAAGTGGTTGTGCCTGTGATTTTGAGGAGGGAAACAGTGAGCAACTGATTATCAAAGAGATTGCTGGTTGAGAAACCAGAGCAGATAAGTAGTTATCATCTAGCAGTTCCAGTTGCTAGACATTAGTCTGATCAGCAAAACTTATCATAGTTTGGGGTTTCTAGTGTAGCTTTAGCAAAAGAGAACTGGAAATGTTCCCGTGACTTAAAAAGTATGTGACATCCCTCAAAATGAAAATTAATTCATCCTTTTCTAATCAAAGAATTCTGTATCTTACAAGTTTGTGCAGATTTCTGAAACTCCTTAATACACATTTACAATCAGTACTTAATGTATACGTGAAGAAATTAGGATTTCTGACTAAATGCTTATTTGTCACTATAAGTTAAGAATTAAATAATTTGCATTATTGATTACAATTATCTCTTTTCTCTTTTTAATTGAATTTGTTTTGATTGAATTTGTAGTACCCCTCTCTTCAGAATGTCTTGGACTTCATTGTTTTTTAAACTTGCTTTTGTTCTGTACTTTAGAAGGCAGTTCAGGCGATCATCAAAACGGATAGCACTGTCAAAACATGTGTTGGAGCTAAGAACTGCGGCTTCCTCTGCCTCTGAATGTGAGGCTGATTGGAGTGAGAAGGGGAATCAAAGGCAAGAAGCTAAACTGAGTGTTCCTAGAGGCAAAAGTTTGAAAACTAAACATAGAAAGAAATCTGAGAAGGAACCCAGAAGTTCAAAGATAACCTTCGTCACCCTCCGGGCTTCTCAAGAGGAGGAGGATGAGGAGGCAGATGACTTTGAACTTGATGATGAAGATGAATGCTTTTCACCTGAGGAAGTGAACAAGGCTCCAGTGTTTGTTCCTGTAGGTCTTCGATCTCCAAAACCTGTTCCTGTTCAGATAGAGGAAACCATGGAGGAGGTATTGTGTAGCTGAGTTCTGCATATGTACTTTTTTTCTGATTGTTTAAAAAGCTTTTATTCTAATTGCATCTCTGAGTATTTGGGTTTGATCCCAGTTCAGTTTTATTTAAGAATGGTATTGAGAGTAGTAGGGATGTTACTTGGCACATATACTAGGTTTTGAACTTAATACTGCATCAGTCTAAAGTCCAGTTGTGTGGTTACATTTACAAACCGTGTAAAGGTCTTCAGGGTGCTCACCAGTTTGTTTATTGGGATTGAATATGCCACAGACTACCATGCTCACTTACCATGTGAGGCCCCAGATGGATCAAATGGAGCACTTCAATTTTATATTTGAATGTTAGGAAATGAGGGTGTGAGGGAAATGATTCTGTGTATTGTGTCCCCATTGCCAAGAAACTTTAACTGTCTAGCGGGCTGACCTCAGTAGCAGCCAGGCACACAGAGCTGCTTGCTCACTCCCTTCTCCCATGGGATAAGGAGAAATTAGAAGGGAGGGTAAGAAGCCTTCTGTATTGATATAAAGACAGTTGCACAGATGAAGCAAAAGCTGCATGTAAAAGCAAAGCAAAATATTGCTAGTCATCTTCCTCTCTTCTCCCATTGAAATACTGGTTATTTTTTGTCTCCTCAATCACACTGTTTCTTTCACTGGGTGAAATAGCAGGAGAATTTAAAGCTCAGGCAAAACACCAAGGGAAACTAGAATAATAATGGGAAGCAAAGTTGCTGCATGGAAACTTTTTCTGAATCATGGATTTCAAAGATGGGGAATATATATTATGTGTGGGGATGACAATCAAGTTTCCTGATTAAACACACAGGAGGCATGAGTACTAGTGAGGGACATTGTTAGACACTTGAGAACTCAGCTGTTGAAAATTTAAATAGGTCAGTAGAAAGTATCTGTAAAAGTGCAAACTTTTGAAAGCAAACCAGATTGAACAGTGTTTTTCATGAAAATCTACTTAGAAATATTGTAACCTTTCTTTCAAATTTCAAGACCTCTTTGCTGAAAATGTCAAATGTCTGAAGTTCTTAGTGAAAAGAGAGTGATTAAGAAGAAGGAAAAGAAATTAGGTAAAACAGTGGGTGTGTTGCTGTGTGTGGGTATGTCTATTCCCTCTCTTACTTTGGAAAAAAGGTGAACTGTTTTTCCTTCCTGAAGACTTATAAAGCAGAAAAAGCGTGAAAACTAACAAAACCCATTTGAGGTAAACAGTCATCATGAAAGACCTCAACTGCATAACTTAGTTTGGTGGAGTAATGAGCAACTAGAAACAAGGTCTTAAGTTGTCTGATGCTTCCCCTTAGTTTCAAGTAGCACTACCTGTTCTGCCTCCAGTTCATACCACTGATGCCTTCTCAAATCAGGAGGTACTGTTTTTAGGAAGGATACCACTAGATGCTGAAGATCTCTTAAGTAGATGAGGTTTATAAAAATTTAAATTTGACAGATTTTCTTCTGTGTCTGATGAACTGTAATACTTCTAAAATTATTTTCACAGCTTGAAATATCTGTGAATGTACCGGATATGCAAACAGCTACTGATGTTGAAAGTCTTTCTCATGCATCTATCCAACCGGTAGCACAGAGGGAAGAAACAGTGAGCACCTCAACAGCTGTAAGAATGTCTTGTGTTTGTTTGTTTCGTAGTACATACAAAGCTATTTTAACAGTGTCTTATTGCCATGTCTGCATGTAACAGTGTAGCTTGTTAAACTCATCCCACACAGATATGAGGGGCACAGCTATAGGAAAACTATGTAAGGTAAATATTGTTACCCTTGAAAGCCAGGGTAACCTGTGGGCAGAGAATTTTCCTGTAGGCATTAAAAATAAAGTAAAATTGCGGAGTCATTTTATGTAGAGCTTTGATATTGTTTTTCTTTGTATTTAAGGAAACTACCATACATGAAAATCCAGATGCGAACAAAGGTAGATATGAAACCATCTTGCTCATCTATTTCCTCTTAACTTACTACTAATATATATATATTTTCCCCTTTCTTAAAATATGTTTTCCAAAGGTGCCACCCTCCTGGCTGACAGGTTCAGCTGTGTCCTGCAGGGGGTGAGTTGCAACTGCCTGTGGCCCAGGGCAGCACCTCTGCTGCCAACACCTTACCACCCGTATCCAGTGCACCATTTAAGGCAGCCATCCCGCTTCTCAGTGTTTTTGCAGTAGTTTGAATTTACTGGATGAGAATGGCTGTTTGTCTACAAGCATTTTGATCCACAAATGAGGTCAACGTAAAAAACGCCCACTTCGTTATTTTTGGTGGTAGTGTCAAATGCTTTTCAAATATGGGTTAGTGGATTTCTGGTTAATGTCCTTTTGGCTTTTAATGTGTGTGAACAACTTCACAGGAATTAACGACGGAAGCACTGAAGCTGCTATGACTTTACTTGCCATGGGTGATCCAAATTTCCAGTTAAAAACAAGCCCTGAAGGTATGATCTGATTTATGGAACAAAGCCTTGCTTGTGCTTTCTGGGTCTGCCTAAGGAGGGATGGAGAGTGGCTGCAAAGCTCTTCTGCATGTTGCTGCATAGCAGGAGGTCAAGAGTCCTTTATGCCTTTAGTCCTGTTGCATTGTAAGGTGTAGTGAGTCTAGCCAATGCAGGTTGGCTGGAAAAAGTCAGGTACCCTACTGGATACAGCCAACTGCATCACTGTGCTAGAAAAATGTTTCTGAGACCTGTTTTGGGAAGGACGTGTTTGAATTGATCTGGTCACATAAACTGGACAAAAGAAAGGGATCAAGGTTAAAAGACTGTAACTTTCAGTGGTCTTTTCAGACCTTTAACATGAAGCATAGCTTTTTTCTCCCTAACTAGATACAACCTGAAATTACCTAAGTTTATTCCAGTTTTTATAGGTTTTATTTAGAATTTATTATCTACTTTCATTGTTTGAATGTTAGTTTTTGTGTTCTTACTATCAAAAGTGTGCACTTATGACTGCATTTATCTGGGATTTGAATTTGCGTCCTTGGAGAATACAAACTTTGTTAAATGAGGTTTGAAGTTATATAGCTGTATGTAAATGCCAAACCTGAGTGTTTTAAATCATGTTTTTCTATTCTGTTTATTGTTAACCAGAACGGACGCACACGTTACCTGCTCAAGGTGAGTTCGACGTGGGTAATAGCCTTGTAACCCGTGCCTACTCCAAAGAAAATAGAACTTCTAGTCAGTATTTACTTTCTTCAGACACTTCTACCAAGGAATTGCTGCCTTCTGAGGATGGAAGCAACATCAATGTAGAGAATCAAAGCACTGGCACAAGAATTGGCATAGAAGAATATTTGGAGAAGGATGCTACTGACACCAGGTTAAATTACTGCTTCATTTTCTTCAGTGAGAAATCTTCTGACACTGCTTACTTTTGCTAGGTTCCTTCTGGCATTTTTATTGAATTGCAAGCAGCCTTGCTTTAGTAAAGGTTTCCCAGTTTGTGTAATTTGGTATGTAATCTGCAAAAACCTCTCTTGTCTCTTTCTTATGATTTTCATAAAATGTTTGGATGTACTTTTGGTGATGTAGAACTTGTTTTTTACTCCTGAAATTAAGTTTACCCTTTTGGGAGAGAAAAGAATATTCAGGCTAAGTTATATTGGATCACTGTTAATTACCAAGCTCATTTTCCCAAAGTTCTCTACAACTAATCAGACCAAGGCAAATTGCTTAAGTGTCACTGCTGCTGTGGGATGTAAATCAAAGATTTAGAGCAAAGGGATAGGAAGGAACCAGTTGATTTTCTATCATTATGGTTTTTAGTGCTTTAGCTTCTATAATTTTGCATTTGTGAATGATCAAACACCTTAATGGGACACTTTTTCAGAAAAAAATCTGCTGGTGATTATGTATTATTTGAAAGACTATTTAACTTGTTGATTGCTTGAACAGACTATGAGACTAGTTGTTACTATGACTCTAAAAAATAATAATCCAAGATATTTTATGTCCAGTTTGATTATATTATTAAACCAGAACTTACTATCATATGATCAGTGTTAGATTTCTGATCTTCTTCTGTTATTTAAATATTTCAGTGGTTTTTTTTTTTCCTTTGGGTAGGGAACACCCTAGTTTGCAGTATACCTGCCTGTATCAGTTCCCAGATGATTTTTATTTTTTTTTCTGCCAAATAGTTTTCTTTCTCCTCTGCCAGCTGCAGCCTGTATTTCAGCTGTTCATTATCTGAACTACTCCATATCTCTTACATCTTCTCTGCACTAACTGTCAAAAATCAAGAACTGTAATGATGGCATTTTTCTTTTTACTTGCAATAATAGCTCTTTGCCTGTGGTGAGTAGTATGGAACTGACAGGAGACAGACTCCTGCAGCCTGAGCCAACCTTTGGAGTATTGAGGTCCAATGAAAACATAACACAGAAGTTACTTAACACAAATGTACTTGTGGAACAACTAGAGCAAATTCAAACTGGTAAGCCTGTTTCTTATCCTAGGGTTCTGAAAATGGTTTATTCAGATATATTGATACCCATTCATGAAATGAAACTGAGCTGAGAGTCTTCACTTTCTATTCATCTTCAGAGATGATACATCACCCCTGTCATATGGGGTACTCATTTGTAGTATAGTTTTATACAAAAGTACACCTTTGAGTATAAAATGAAATGAAATTTGAATAGCAGTTTTTCTCTGCAGGTCTGAAATTACCTGGAAAGGACTTAAATTACTGGAAGGCAAATTACAGAAATAACAGCACAATACAGTGTACTTTTTTTTCTGTTAATACTGTCTTTCCCTTCTATTAAAAGTAGAAGAGGAGCTAGAAAGAACTGTTTTCCTATTCTTAAAGCAGTTAGAAAAAAGGTGGTCTTCAAACTCTTGGTTATCTTCATATCAATGGCAAAATGCAAAACATACAAAAGCAAGATGAGATATGTGTATGTGTCATATTCATATAAGACATAAATATACATGTGCACATGTACAGCAAAATTGTTAATCATTTTGCAGTATGTTAATATATACACATATACATAACTTTAATATATGCAAGATTATATGTAAAAAATAAATGAATATATATATATACACATGCAGATAAAAATCCCATTATTTTAACTTTTATTCTTATAAATCTTAGATCCTACAACCGTGAGGGATACTGCAGAAATGCAGAAGGTGGAACTAGAACAGATCAGACCAACTGCAGATGATTCTTCAGTTCTTCATGATTTTGCAGCTCAGAGTATGGAACTTATTGAGCAAGTAGACAAAACTGAGAGGTAGGAAGACTCAGCAGTTAATATTGACTTTATTCCTACAGTCTCTTAAAATATGCAACTGAAATTCAGGTGCAGTGTGCGACTGTGATGGAAACAGTGTGCTTACAGACACTGTGTATGTTTATGCAGATAGTGTACAGTTGAGACTTCAGTTTTTAAGTTTTTTCTGTCTTGTGTGTGGTGCTACAGCTTTTGGAAGTAAAGCATTAACTTATGTTTGCTGTTCCAGAACTTTGAAATTACTTTGCTGCTTAACTGTCTTCCATAAAACTGCATCTGAAAGGAAAAGTTAGGAAGTTGATCAATTTGGAAATGTTAATGAGCTTGTAAGGGTTCCTGCTTGGCTGTGCTTGTAGTAGGAAAGTCTCCATTAGTGGAGTTACGTAGGCTTTTTCCTGAAATACTTCATGTAGACTTGTTGCAAGATTATGCATTCTGTTCAGTACAATAATGTAGTTTTTAAACAAGTACCTTGTTTCTTCTCTATACCTACATATGCTTCATATTAAATAAATCATAACACAGAATTTAGCACGTGCACAGTGTATCTTCATTTGGTTCCAAACTAACTAGATATATACCTTACAGAGCAGAAAAACAGATGAGAGGTGCTTGTGGAAATTCAGGAGATATAAGACCTGTAACTGCATCCCCAAAATCTGAAAAATCACACCTTGGACTAGAGGATTGTCCAAATCAAAGTTCTGTGGATGAAGTTCCTGAGCAAAATCCTTGTCCTCTTGAGCGCAATATATGCACAATCAACTTTACTCAGGTAAAGAACTTAATTACAGTCTAGAAGTGTCCAGTTTCTCTAATTCTGTAAAGGAGGAGGTTTTCAGTGCAAATGTACTCACCTGTTTTAAAGACCTGGTACCTAAGCTGTGAATGAAACTGACCTTTTTTCAGAGGCATAACCAAACAATCTTTCAGACAAACTTAGTCTTTGCAACTGTTCAGAGCATTTCAGCAATAAGTGATATACACTGGCAAAATTTTGAGCAATTTTTAAGGAGTTTTGATGGAAGAAGTTACCTAAGATTCCTGTAACTATTCAGTGTGACCTCTTATTGTTACATTTGTTTAAATTAAAATTAAGTTAAAATGTTACTGCTTGGATGCAGCATATTCATTGTTGCTTTCCTTTGTTTAAAACAAACTGCATCCTTTGTTATGCTGTTTCTCATTTATTTAAAAACCCAGTTAAGAGCTTTATGTGTATATTATCATATTGCATACACATATTTTACATATTTTACATATTTTACATATATGATGCATATTATCATTTTATATATTATGGATGAACAGTGTCTCTTTCACATCCATTTCTTTGCAGTGGTTTGTGTATCCCTGTTCTAGTATAAATGAGAATTATCTTATTTCTTCATGAGAGGAAGGTTCATTCTAAGTTCCCTCAGGTTTTCCAGTGTTGTCTGAGATCAGTGAACGTGCAGTTACGATGGAACAGCTGATCCATAAAATCTTGTTTCCCCAGTGCAACCTGTTGGTGTGTCAGGGCTGATTTCATATTAGAACAAGGTACAAGAATGATTTGGCTCTTACAGGACTGGCAGAAAATATGAAAAAAGGCAATTTGCAGTAGAGTATTCCTGTTTTTAGCAAAGGGAGAAGCCATAAAAGGGAAGGGAGAGATGAGCTGCAGAGCTTGGTGTTTTTCTTTGGCACTGAGTGGTTTTGTTAGAGTTGGAGGAATTTGCTTCCTTAGTGCCACTGAACAATTTATTGTGTGAGTCATCTCTGACAGAGTTGTGCTGTAGGAAGTATAAATTTATTTTGACAAACCATCAATACAGACAATGGGCTGCATATAAATTTTATATTTCCCCAGTGTTTCTTGTCCTTGTCAGGCTAATATCCTTCAACTTAGAACATCCAGAAGTGAAAGCTGACAAATGCAATTATGATGATGTGATTAGATTTTTTTTTCACTCTTGAGCATTTTACTTGCTTTGTTTCTTTCCTGTTTCCTAATTTCCCAGATTTATTAAGTTGTTTTATTTCAACTGTGTTGTTTCTAGAATGAAGCTTGCACTGAGGATGCTCGACAACAGTGCGTAAGCAGCACAGAAGAAACTTCAGGTATAATGTGCTAATATTCAAAGTTAGCAAAAGCCCACACTTGTGTATCTTGCAATTATGCAAAGGTGAACAAAAAACTTAAGTATTTTCATTGACATGGTTAATCAATCTTTTTCATTAACAAAAATAATGACCCATAGCACAGTGACTTTCCCTACCCTAGCCTCTTATCATTACATTTCTTTACCACAAGCTAGACTTGGGAAATTTTGGAATGGCCCGCCCTTCATTAAGTTTAAATATCACTGGCCGGGAAACTTCTTGCTCCCTCTGCCTGCTGTGGGCTCCTGCTGCTTGCCTCATGCTAGGTATAGCAAGCAGTTTTTAGAGCCCTTTATGAGCCTGTGACTCACCTGTCAAAAACTGAACATGACAAAGGGAGAGAAACGATGCAGTTCTCCACTGGTTTAGGGAGCTATAGCTGCTCATGAAGTTACCAAGTGAATGCTGTTGTCAGAGTTGTGAGTAGGAGGGCTGTACTGTGCAGGAGAGAAAGGAGATGAGAAGTATAAGGAAGGAGACAATCAGACTTCTTTCTTTAGGTGTACTGAGTCAACAGATTAATGCCTAACTGATTAGATGGGATGAAAGTTATGAATGTGATGTCTGCTTTTCCCCAAAACAAATTGAAATACAGCTGGTATGGAACCATTATTTATCTAATATATGGGATAGTCACTGTGGCAGAAGCACAGAGTACTTACTTTACATGGAAACTGCACTCTAAAGCTGTAACTCATGAGCTTGTGCAAAAGATAGGGGTAATACTTCTTCTTAGACATCTGTTGTTATGCTGTTATTGCCAGGATCTTGGGATGAAGCATCTTAAATCATATTTAATTAGATTAAGGACCAAAGCGAGTTGAGGTTGGAATAACAACTTTACATCATCAGTGAGAGCTGTCTTAAGTAACGGAGTACCACTGTTGTTTTCCGTCTTTTGAAAACTTTACAAATGTTTTCTCCTTAAATTCTAACGGATGGCAGTTGGCAGTTATCTGTTAATGTCTATCTGTTGATTAAATTATTTCTATTTTTCATTTATTAAATTCAAGATTATACTTCTCAGGTCCTCTTCTGCCTGTCCACAGTTAGGGAAAAAATCCTTGTGTTTACCTTCAAAGCAGCAGGCACGTGCCATTTATAGAAGAAACTCTTAATATCTGACACTTGAAATTAAAGACAGGGCCATTTGACCATCATGACACGAGTTTAATTAAACTGCAAATTTAATCTTCTTTAATGCTAGAACACCCACTTAAAAAGCTTCATCCCTACTAGGCATTTTTAATATTCTTCATTCTGAATGGTAATCAGGACTCCACTGCAATGAGTAGGCTCCAGGGGATGACAATGTGTATCTTATCTAAGGAGAAAGGAAACAGATTGTCTCAAGAATATGCCCAGTGCCTTTTTCCATGAAGAAATGAGTGCCTAAAATTTCATCACGCCATGTAGAAAGACCATGAAGACAACAGCGTAATTTCAAATTTGAATAATAGTTATTTGATATTTCTTTATTCCCCTGAAAATAATTATAGTAGTGAACGATGATCCTAGATGTCCAGAGGAGGAACAGACATTCGTTTTAACATTGGTGGAAATCCCAGTTGACTCAGAAGAGTTTGATGCATCTGTTGTACTGGAACAAACTGCAGAACCATTACTACCAGCCCCGATACTTATCAGTCCAATAAATGCAAGTGAAACAACTGTGACTGAAGTGGAAAGGTAAATGCTTTATTTTTGATCAAAGTGAAACACCTTTTGTGTACCTTGATTGTTCCTTGAATGTGCAGTACAGATTGGAACTTCTCAAAAGAAGAAATGCAAGAGGAAATAATTTTGACAGACTGGTGGGTGAATTAAGGAAGTGAAAGGGCACTAATCAGATTTGAGTAAGATTTCATCAGTGATTTAAAATTAGTGTTTTAGTTAGCTGGGATTTTGGCATCAACCTTGATTCTGATTTATCCTTTAGAGCAAGTCTTCCTTTTCAGTAGAAGTTATGTTTCCATCCTGAGCCTATTCTGCCATGGATACTTATAATGAAAAGCAATTGAAATGAAAAAATCTCAGCACGTTTGCATTTTTACAGTACTTTAACTGTTCTGCAGAGTAGCTGTTTATTAATTGCTCTTCCAGATTTTTCATGTGGATGGTCTTCTGGAGAACATGATAAACAGTATATATAAATTCTGCTATCATTCTCTTGAATTTGTGCAATGTTCAAAAGGCAGAAGAGGTCCAAATGCAAACAAATTAATTAATTATTCAACAGATTAATACCTGGTTTGTATACTGTGATACAAAGGGTTTGAGTTTCTTTTACAATCAGTACCTCTCAACGCAATGTAACAAAATTGTTATTTCAACATTACAGTTGAACTAAATCTCCTGGTCAGTTTGGGAGAAAAAAAAAAACAACATCAAAGGAAAAAGACACTCTGAAGAATGGAAGTGTTGCAAAGTTGTAAAAAACCCCCCTATTACTATACTAATGTAAGTCCTCAGATCATAACTAGAGATGTGATGCAATTCCACATAATTGTGGAGGATCTTGCCTGTGATATCAGATGCTAATGTCATTCTCTTGTAGAAAGGAAAGGTCTTTGAGTGAACGTTGGCTACACAGCCTAAGAATTCTCACTCCTGTGGAACTACTGATTATAAACAGAATTGCTGACAGGCAGAGTTGAAGTACATGTCCTGTCTCACTGTTCCTTTACTGTTTTACCCTCTTTCCCTAGTCTCTGCTGCTTCCCTGTATGTCTTACTGTCTTTTGAGATCATACAGGGTACAGGGATTCAACTGTGCTTATAAATAATACTGTATTTTAACATTTTCTAGGGCATTTAATTAGTCACCATATTTTTACATTTTATGAAAGGATCAAGTGGAGTTCAAATAGAACAGCTAAAGTAACTAGATTCAATTATGACTAGAAAAACTCTAACTCAGGATAGCACAACAAAATCTTTCTTGGTAGTAAATAGTACATTTGAAGTTAATTTTGACAATAAACAAGAAGGAGTATCACCACAGATCCATGCGTAACTTCCATACAGAAATGTTATACAAATTAAATTTTGGCTTCTTATAAAGTCACAATAATGACGTTGTGTATTAACAGCACTGGGTCCATGACAGCTGCAGCTGGTAAAATTGCTACACCTTTAAACAGCAGTATGGAAACCAAACAACTAGACAGTGCATCAGCAGACCCTGTTCCAAAGTTGCAGACAACTCGGAAACGATCAGCTGCTGAGCTTCAAGAGAATGATTTTCCTACTGCCAAGAAAACTCTGTCTACTGTTGCAGTGGAAGATAGCTTGGAAACCTCTTGTAAGGTGAGATCAAAATGTGGTGAGCCTTCGTGCATAGTGTAAATGCATAACAATAATACAGCATTTTAATGATGTTCATTTTTTAATGGTGCCACTTGCTTAAATATGTAGTGCCTATACAACTTAAAGGAAAACCAACACCAATAGATTGCTTTCAATTTTGAACTCTACAACAGTTTTTGGGTATTCATTTATTTAGTATCAGGTTTTTTCAGAATCTGTGGGCTCTCAGATTTTTTTTTAATTAGACTTCCTACGAGGCAGACTAGGATATGTCTTATTTGGTTCATTCAGCATAGCCTTTCTGGCAATGACATTGCAGGAGGGGAAACTCTGTGGGTATATTGGATGATTGACAAACTGCTTAGGTTCATTGAATGATGTTGTGATTCTGCACCATGTCTATTACATGAAGAAGCTGTTAGATATGTTCCTATCAATTTTTGACACAGCAGGTACTAGTTTAAAAGAGCAAGCTGCCAGTGAAAACTGGCTAACATGTTTCCAGCTTCCTTCTGTGATTTTTAGAATATGATCAAGCTTGTGGCAATGGCTACTGTTGATTTTTGTGAATAGGGTAGGATTGTGTGGTGTACCTTGGTGAAGGAATGGGTGGTAATTCCCCACGTGATTCAGGCAGCTTTTCTAGGAAGGACTGGATTACAGTCCTCTTCCTTCTTTTGATCTCTCATCTTGATATACTTGTCAAGTCATTTGTCATAAGAACACCTTAAAAAACCTGCTAAGGAAATGAGTTAAGTAATGAATGACGCTTTACTGTCTTCTGTTTCACTCGTGTTCTCAGAACTCTTAGAACTTAGAACATGTGTGATACAAGTTTATCAATTTTCATAGTCACTTCTGTATTGAGAGCAATAGAGAAAATAACTTTTTTTTTTTCTTTTTTAAATACAGGGTTATTCAATTAAATCCAAAGATGCACCAATGATAGCTTCTGGTAGGTAAACTTAAACTCGTAAACCAAAGTATAATGAATGTAAATGCTTAACACATCACAGTTTAATACTGGTTGTCATGCTAAATATTTCTGTATGAAACTATCTAACATAAAAGTAGAAACAAATTTTCCTGGTACTATGGTAATACCACCATTCCTTGTTTTCTGCTATAAACTAGATATGTTGGATTACGTAACTGGCTGTTAATTTCATAATGGTCCTAAAAACATTGCTGTAGGTAGTCTGTGAAATTTGAGAGGTTTTTTTGACTAAAGATGTTATGTTCTCCTAAACAGATATTTCCACCTGTTGGAGAGCACTAGTAATCAAAAGTATTAACTGGCATTTTCACCACACAATGCCCAAATAATATATTTTTTTTTTATTTTGCATTTCTATTTAAAAAAAAAAAATTGTTTGAAAGCCTAATCTGCCTCTGAAAAATCAGAGAGAAAGCAGAATTGCTGACAATGCAATCTTTGGTGATCTGAGCCTGTGAAGGGCTTGGAGAACAATGTTTTGGCCCTGAAAAAGACTTTAAAGGGAAATTGCAGAAGCTTAAACAGTGAGATGACTTGACTAAGTTCTATGGTGTGCTGTAAAGGAGGAGGAGGAGCGTGCTGTAAAATCTAATGCCATGCTTCTATCAGCTTTTCCCCATAACATCTCTAAGATCTTACAGGCTTTAAAAGTAGACAGTGAATTTTTAGTTCTTAGTGGTGACTTAAAAATATAAACTACAAAAGAACCTGAACAAAAATTCAGCCACTCTCTTGCAATGGTGCAAACCATCTTAATATCACACGTGCCTTTTGGGCTCTTATGTTATCACTGAAGTCTTCGACTCTCAAATCCTTTTACAGGCAATCCTTTTCGAAAAACAGAGCCTTCAGCAAAGGAGAAAGTACTTACCTCTGCGTTGGTGTCTAAGTCTATGTCACAACTCACTAAGAGAAGCCAGCCTGAGACTTTGCAGAACTTATGGAAAGCACCACTTGAAAATTCAGCATCCAAACAGGAAGAGGAGGTGATATCTAGATTAACCTCTAACAGAATAGGAGAAATAAGTGGACAAGGAAAACAGGAGAGTGTGCATGAGTCTGGACAGTTGGAATATACTGGAAGCCCATCATCTTCAAAAACTCCAATACTCAGGTATTTATGCAGTAATGTTTTGTTAGCCTGTTCTGTAAAAAAAACCCTTGTTTCCCTGTTGAGTATTTTATCAGTATCATTGTTTGTGACTTACATGGCTAAGAGTTACAGTATATATTCTCCTGCAAGTTTGAAAGGATAAAACTGTCTGCTTTGAAATTTGAATTATTTTACTCATTAAATGACCACATTGACCAGGGACACTACTGACATACTGTGTGTCTGTTTAGACATTGACAGATGCCTCTTGTCGGGCAGACAGCCATTGGCTATGAGAGGGGCTTAGGATAATTTTTGTTTTCCTTACCTAAGTCATATGTTGTGAGATATATACCCATCCATGTATTTTGGTATTTGTGCTGCCAGTAAGATTTGTTACTGGTATAGTACTCAGCACACTGGATTTTTAGGACTAACTTAAGACGTGTCATTTCTCCAAAGGAGTTTCAATCGTGGCAGATTAGAGGATATTCCTTTTATCTATCCATTGACTTGACTTTTTTAAGTATACCTTTCTATAATGTTTGTTTAAGTGTTTGATTCCCTGCTCTCTACTGTTCCTGTGCTCACTGATTTTGATTGTGGTGCTGCACTGTCCTCTTCTGATCCTGTCATTTACTTTTTCATTTTGCCTGTGTGAGTACCAACACTGGCTGCTTGTACTTAGGGACATCTACAGCAGCTGGATAATGATGCATTAACATCGGAATCCTTGCCTTAAAGTTTACTTTTTGATTTGTAAACTCTTAATACTTTAGTGCTCTGTGTACCTTCCTCAGTGCCGTGACTTCTGTAACTTCACTGGTTTGATGCTATAAGTAGCCTGAAACCCTGCAGCAGATAGTCTTCTTTCTGGTGTTTAGGGTAGTCTGCTGTGGCCCCATTCTTGGGAATCAGGGGGTTTTTCCATTGATTACATGAAGAACGCTCTTTTCAGTTTGTTCTTTACGAATGTGTTGGATCCCTGTTGGAATCGCTTTCTGAAGGTCTAGTATCTTGTTATGGGCTGTGGATTAATATCAAATAGTAGCTTCCTGTTCTCAGGTTGAAAATTGTCAAGAGTCTCTGTAACTCTTCAAAAAACTCTTGTGGCAGAATATTCAGGAATACAAAAGCCTTTCTCAGAATGACTTTTGAGTTTTTTCTTACAATTTTCATATATCCTACAGGTGTGTATTTGTTTCCTGTGTAATGACTTGGACTTCTGCAATACTATTTACATCTTCCTTCTTAGGAGCAATCCTATGACATCTTGACTGTATTTGTTTTGAACAGGGGCGGACGAAAACCATTGGGATTTTTATCTTTAATTTGCAAAAAAAGTAGTTCTGAATCTGCAGAAGATACCAAAGGAAATAGAGGGAAGATCCAAAAGCCTCAAACTGTGACTCCAAAACGAAGTCTAAAGAAACCCACTCCCTCCACTAAGTGTGATAGGGAAACTTGTTCCCTTCCCTCTACATCTGTGGAATATGAGCATGTAGCTGCTGATGCTGCAGTTATGGTATGTGTTTACTTTGGAACACCTATGCATTTTTGAGATGTGAAGAACAGCAAATTAGGTGTTTCAGGAGTGGGTAGCTGCACATGTAGCACTCATGTTTTGAGAGAGATATCTGCTCCCTTGAACAAATTCTGACTTGTGCATATCTAAGAAACTTGTAAGGGAGCTAAGTTGTTTTTTCTCTGCGTGTATCCCATTTGTGACATTACTTCCCATTTTCAGTAAACTCTGAGGTTTTTTTGTCGGAACTTCCTACATAAATAGGAAGCTCAAGTGCGTATATGTGTAAATATATTTATGCTTACACATACAGAGATTAAGACTCTTACGACAATCTTTTCTTGTTTTGTTAGGTTCCAAGTAACAACTCATCTGAGAAGGCACCTCTTTGTGCTAAAGATCAAGAGAAGGAAGAAGAACCAACCAGAATCTCTGAGTATTTTTTCAGTGACATCTTTATGGAAGTGGATGATTCAGAATAGCAAATGGGTTTTATAAAAACCTAGGATTATAGGATATACTGCAACAAGAAAAGAGGATTTTTTTTTTTGTTCTGACATTTGTTATGCCACACTTACTATCAGCCAATAATAGTGTTGTTAATTAATACCATAAAGATGAAATGGATTCCTTCGGAAGCAACCTGGATACTTTCAAAATGTTGACATAATCTAAACCACTACAATGATGTCATTGGACCACACTAGAGACTGCTGACCTGTAGTTTTACTTGTTTAGATGCTGGCATGACTACCTTGCAGGAAAGTGCAATGAAATAATGTTTAATCTTGTAACAATTATCCCTTTGCATTTTAATGCTAAAGCTATTGGTACTGGCTATACAAATTCTTTACTTCTTTTTGTGAAGTATGTTATGTTAGGAGGAATGAACCTTTTAGGTAGAGTGTAATCTCTGAAGATCAGAATGCAAATACTGGAAGTAGTGTAGTAAATACGTAGATATGTTAAGCACTGCAGGTATTTTTATTAGAATCTCCAAATTATGTATTTTTTTTTAACAGTTTTTAATTACATAAATTAAAAGATCCCAACCTGAAAAGCCCCAGGGGGATTGGTTCCTTAAACGTGTATTGAAAACTAGACAACACCATTTACTAAAACACATTAACATGAGGTAATCTTTGCAATGTTCATCACTGGGAGGAAGAGATTGATGTTCCCTAGTATAAGTGCTAATTTTCTTCTAAATTGGAAAACAAAGTGATCGATACCATTTCTTTTTCTTGGTTTTACATGTAAGTGTTTGTATATTTGCTGACTTCCTCGGTTTCCCTTCTGCAAAGAAGCACAAAGAGATTGGATTTAAACCATGACTGTGCAATGTCATTGTTTTGAAGATTTGCTGCTTTGAAGCACTTCAGTTTGAAGGGTTTTCTCATGTTGCATGTCTACTTGTATTGTAACTTGCTATAAAATTCCAGTGTAGCTTTAGGTTTTTTACTTACCTCATCAAGATGATGAGGTAATCAGGTTTATGCAGTGTCAAAGTGTCAGGTGGTCACTGACAGATTCAGTATTTACTTGGAAACTCCTGCTTGCATAGGAATGAGTGTTTAGATTTGAATGGTCTAAATTTTTGTCCTGTTAATTAATAGTAGCAGGTACTTTCACAAAATAAATTATTTATTATTAATGTGAAACTGAAATCTATTATCAGCTTTTAACTGGGTCATTGTTTACTGGCAGGTAAATAATATAAGTATGCAGTTAATTCTGAAGGACTTGAGTAAGTTCGAGAATGTTTGTCTTTTCAGAAGTTATTTAAAATTTTGTCAGTGAGGAAAAATATAAAAGCTACTGTTACTGCAGATTGATATATTACCAGGCCTCTGTCAATGAAATGTCACTGTCAGCAGTATTCCTTGAGGTGATAGAAAAGGGACTAATGATCCCAGTGTGAAGTAACTTATTTGAAAGCATATGATCAACCCACCTCACCCCCCCCAAAAAAAAACCCTCCAATAGCACCAACAGTTTCTGTTCAGATGGTATCTTGTACTTTGCCTAATCCATTTAACTTGAAATGTTTATCTAGTCTTACTGTACATTATAAAATAGACTTATGTATACATAAAACTATGTATTGTATATCTTGTAGATATTGTTTTAAGTATGCAAGTGTTTACTTACTTCCTGATACATGTGGCATGTTTATATCACTTGCACTCATAGAGCCTAAAAATAGAATTGTGGGGAGTATCTATGAAACAGTTGCTGTGAGTACCTTCTGAATGAGTACTGAGGGGATAATCATTCTGCATTTAGTTGCATACATTTTAGCTTGCATTCAGATTACAAGGTGGGGAAAAAATCAACTATTTCATTACTAAGATTTATGGTGCCTTATCTGAATCGTTAATTGGGGTTATGCTTTCTCTTTCCTTGCAGTAAATTCCATGCACTTTGTTAGATTTTTTTTTTTAAAGAACAATTTTAATTTGAATAGATGTAGGTCAGTTCTGTGTTCTGTTTTGTGTATGAAAGTTCTATAATGATGAAGGATGTAAGAAAATATGGATGAAATCTCAATGCCTCTGAGTAGCATTTTTACAAAGATGTGGCATAAGACTGCTTTGCTTAGAGTTGTCTGACACCCTGTATCATTGTATATGAGCTTTCTATTTCAAGGAAAGTACTCCTATTCTCTGTGTAAATTATGTGAATAAATTATTTTCTATTACCAGTGTTTCCTTTTCTTTGAATATCAGTTGCAGTTTTTAAATGCTCATAGGCATAGTATGGTAGAGGCAGGGAAGCCCTGCAGAGAGACCTCAACAAATTGAGGACTGGGCAATCACCAACCATATGGAGTTTAACAGGGGAAAGTGCCAGATCCTGCGCCTGGGATGGGGCAACCGTGGATGTACGGGCAGACTGGGCAGTGAGATGCTGGAAAGCAGTGCCATGGAAAGGGCCCTGGGAGTCCTGGTCAATGGCAAGTTGAATCTGAGTCAGCAGTGCCCTGGCAGCCAGGAGGGCCAACCCTGTCCTGGGGGACATCAGGTAAAGCATCATCAGCCGGTCGAGGGAGGGGATTGTCCTGCTCTGCTCTGACCTGGGGCAGCCTCACCTTGAATATTGTATGCAGTTTTGGGCACTGCAATGTAAGAAAGATATGAAGACATTAGAGAGTGTCCAAAGGAGGGCAGTGAAGATTGTGAAGGGCCTTGAGGGGAAGCCATGTGAGGAGCGGCTGAGGGCTCTTGGTGTGTTCCGCTGGAGGAGAGGAGGCTGAGGGGAGACCTCATTGCAGTTACAACTTCCTTGTGAGGGCAAGAGGAGGGGCAGACACTTCTCTATGGTCACCAGTGACAGGAGCTGAGGGAATGGCCTGAAGCTGTGTCAGGGGAGATTTAGCTTGGATATTAGAAAAAAGTTCTTCCTCCAGAGGGTGGTTGTGTGCTGGAACAGGCTCCCCAGGGAAGTGGTCACAGCATCAAACCTGACAGAGTTCATGAAGCATCTGGATGATACTCTCAAGGACATGGTGTGACTTGTGGGGATGGTCCTGTGCAGGGCCAGTAGTGGACATGATGGTGCCTGTCGGTCCCTTCTAATTCTGTGATTCTCTAAGTATGGGCTAAAGGAAAGGCTCAAGTCTGGGCTGCAACACCAGGGTGCATGAAGACCTGCTGGCCTGGTGGTAACCAGCTGAATGCAGTTTAACAGGGACATTGTTGTCCTGTGGTTTTGTTTTAGAATAGCACTTGATTTACTTAGTATCAGACTCCTCGGTATTATCTCTCTCTAAATACAGCGGCCTTGATTTAAAACAGTTAAACTGGAATGCTGGAGAACAGCAAAGCGTTCAAACAAGGAAACAACTCGACCAAAGAGGTTTGGATTCTAAAAAGCTCTGTCCCTATTACCGTATAACAAAGTTTCTGAGAAGGCCAAGGGGCTCTCCCGGGCTGCACAAGCACGTAATTCTACACGAAATTCTTCCAAGGGACGCTCTTCCGCACCCCCTTGCCCCCAGGTCCTGGGGAGCGGGCACAGGCCCTGCGCCTCGGCCCGGCCCCGCTGTGCCCATTGGCTGCGGCGGGGGGAGTGGCGGCAGCGGCGCGGCCTGGGACGGCCGGCTGGCTTGGATCGGCTCGGCTCGGCTTCGCTCGGCCCGGTCCAGCCATGCTGGTGGGCGCCCCGCGGCTCCCGGGCCGCTGGCTGGGGCTGCTGCGCCCGCTGCTCGCCCGCGGGTACCGCGGCGAGGCGGTGGCGGCGGTGGGGTCGCGCCCCGACGCGAGCTCCGCGCTCTATCAGGTACGGCGGGCCGGGCGGCGGCGCGGGAGCCCCCGGGCGGCCCCGGGAGGCGGGGTCCGGCCTCCCCCGCTGCCGGGCGGCTTCGGGAGAGCGGGGCTGGCGCCGGGGCGGGGGCTCCGGGCGGGGTCGCAGTGGCCGCCATGGAGTCGCTGGTGCGAGCGGCGGCCATTTGGTGCTCGGCCAGCGCGTGCCGGCGCCTCGGGGCGGGGTCCCAGCGCTGCTCCCGCCTGAGGCGGGTTAAACGCCGGGCTCTGCTCGCTTCCTTCAGCCTGAGCGGGCGGCTCTGCCCTGCAAAACGGGCGTGGGTTTGTGCCGGGCGACGGCCTCGTCAAGGATACTTTTACACTTTTTTTAATCAGAAGGCCGTTGCTCGCTGTGTTTTAAGCTGATCGGTACCGTGCTAATTGAGGTGGAGACGGGGAGTTTTCAGGCGGTCGAGGATGGAGCCTGATGATTTCAGAGTTGGACGTGTCGTTGTGTTTGCAAATTGATTCCCGAGGTTGGAAATAGGTGTAATAGCTGTAGCGTAATGGACATGCCTCCGTAAACATCATCTTTTGAGGAGAAGGATTAGGTGTAATTCCACTTGTATTTACAAATAGAGAATAGTATTTGTATCTGGTATAAGTTGGTTCATTTTTAATGGGGCATTATTAACATTATCATGTTTCAGATAGAGGTTGTGTTTACAGTAAGGCTGAGAAAAGCATGACCTTAGATGTGGATAGAAACTGATAGGAGAGCGTGCATTTGTTTTTGTATGTATTCCAAGTAAAACATCAAACAACAGGTGAAGGGACAACATGTATTCTTACTGAAATAGCTCCTTTGGTTCTGTGTTTGATATTGTGCTTTGTTTTGCTGAAACTAAATTTGGGACAGAAGTTAGGTGACTGAAACTCCTGTGAACTTTCAGAGTGTGTGTGTGTGTGTGTGTGTGTGTGTGCGCATACAAAGCTTGTGTATACGAAGTGTGTGTATACATATGTATGTGTGTACATTCATATTTTGCATACCGATGAAAGGTATTTTAATAAAGGTCTTTACTCATCCCAGCTGTCGCTAGATTTATATTTGTGTCTGTGTACCTTTCAACCTCAAAAGGAAAGCAAGGCTTGGTTAAATAGGTAAGACTGTTAGTATTTGGTAGAAAGAATTTATAGAAGAACGTAAGTGCAAGTAGTGCTTTGCAAACACAAAATGCTGAGTTCCCTGCTGTGAGGCGCTTAACCATCTGAAATAAAAGTAGTACAGTGCAAACACAAGATAGTGATGAAGGTCTTGCCTTCTTTAGCCAATGTTTGCCTTTCTGGCTGTGAATTCAGCTAGACAGGCTGGCCTTCGTAATGTAAACTATCTTTCAAACCAGATAGGTAAAAAAGGTAATTTAAAAGTGAGTGAGTCTAAATTCTGGAAAAGGAAGGAAGGTCTATTTGAAGATTTCAGGGATTAGCTCTTAGAGCCCCTTTGCTGGTGTAGGAGTAATTAATTTAGCTTGTGGAGTAACTGTAGGATTAGTCTAGGTTTCACCTCTTGATTTTGCTTTAAAATTTGTAGAAACCCTCATGTTAACAGCAGAATTTTATAGCCCTTGGTAGGCCAGTTTCCAGAAAGAACTTGGTGCTACTTCACTGGCCTTTTTGTCATTAATTAATGACGATAATGAAGAGCCCACAAATACATGGTAGAACTAGTACATTTGATTCTGAGAGGAGTCTTTTCTGTGCATGTTCAGAATTATTTCAGAACATCATCTTTTTGGTAAAATATAATGATGATGTGTTTTGCTTAAAGGTGTGAAAGATCACGATAAAGGTTAAGTGAATTTAAGCAACACAAATATTTGTGTATACAGTATTTTTTATAGATTATCTAAAAAGATTTTTCACAATTTTTCTTATAGAGTAGCTAAGGTAGCTACGGTTAGTTGTTAATGAGGATCTAGTAAAGAAGCCCATGATTGTGATTGCTGTTCCTCTTTTAAGATCCTCTGTCTTTTCAGCCACTTTTTATTTTTTTCTGTGTTAAAGGCGAGTTTTTAAGCTCGGTACTGTGGGCAAGAGGTGAAGTGTATTTGGGGAAAACAGGCTGAATGAACAAGGAGAAACAGGGAAAATATTTTATGTTGCTAAATGACCCACCCAGACAAGCTGAATGCTGGCACAGAATAATGTTGGGTGGTTGTGACAACTGCAGATATTTAGAGATATGGAATTACAGTGGCTGATTTGCAGATTTTTCACTGGGGAAAAAAAGTTAACTTGTAAAGAAGAGTCTTTTGGGAAGGGCCGGTTTTGTTTTCTTCAATGCTTCACGTGGTTGTGTGGCCAGTTACTGTCCATAGTCTCTTACAGGAACAGCATAGTCAACAAAGTGCGACTTGTTTTGTGCTTGGGGTTTTGGGATGCTATGCCAGTGTAAAACTGCCTGTGGGTCATTGCAGTGTGATTTCACAGGTTAGCAGGAAGAAAAACAGTTGTAGAAGTAGGTGTTGGAGCTGTGCAGTGGATGGGCAGGGAGAGGGGCGATTAAACTATCAAAAGAAATAGATTGAAAGGGGAATAATCTGATGGACATACTGATACAGTCTTAAAAGGAACGGAGGGAGGAGATGCAGGAGGTTGGTGACCTACTGTGTCCCCAGTCGTTGGGGCTGCAGGGGGGCACCTTGCTTCAGAGACATATCATTAACTAAGGCCAGTGTCCTGCCCGTGTTTGGTGTTGGCAGGCAATTAGGTGGTTCATACAAGTGCAGACTGTGAACCATACCAGGGATGGCAATTCATTTGTACTTGGGGAATCCTGCTCCCAAGAGCCAACAGAGGTACAAAAGTTGGACTTCAGTGTTTCAGTTACCTTGATCTTGCTGGATGACCTCTGAATACTGTAGGTATAGTCTGAATACCTCTAATACCTTATGTTTTAATTGTGTATACGAGCTGATAAAATTGCTCAGACCTGTTTTCACTGTATATGTTTTTTAGCTTTCAGAAGAATATTTTAAATCTATTTGTAGCAATTACAAAGGGGGAGAAGTGTGTTCTTTTGAAAGTCACTATATATCTAAAACAGAATGTGAGGTCCTGCCGTACATGTTTTTATTTTCTTTCTGCTTTGTATCTTGATGCCTTTAAGTGCCCAAGACTGACCTGAACAACCTTAGCTGCAACATTCGCGGCTTCTAGGGGAAACCTTAAGTCTGAGGGTTGAAGTATACATGAATATGAAGAATCACCAGGTGTTTTTTTCTATCAAAGTAGACTCAAACATAATCTAAATGACAATTAGACAAGGCAATATGGTCTTTTTATGCAGCATCTTCTTTTATTGCAGTTGCATTTTTCAAAAAGGTAATATAGTTCTTAATATGTCTGCAGAAAAACCCAACAAATTAAGCTTGACTAATACCTTCAAATTCCT